TCAATTTCCAATAACAACATATTAATTTTCGGGGAACCATTCATACCACTCTGTTTTAACCGAGCCTGCTTTTCTTTTGTCTTTGTTTCAAAAACTTTGAAGAAATTCTCCGTCACCAAATCTGGAACGAAGAAAGATACTTAGTACTCATACCAAGAAAGATCACTGTAAAATACCCTGACTCAGGAAAGGAAAGATGCAGAATCATTCTGCAACTGGTAAGAAGAAATATCTAAGACTTCCCATGTTAAGTACGAAATCATTCTCTAAGATAGGAGAAAGTAAAAGATACTAAGAACAGTACAAGATAACAAAGAAAGAGTTCGTGAAGAGTTATAAAATAGACTAAGCATCGAGGCTAATCAATCCGGCCCATAGCCAAGCTAAAATGATGTAATAAGTGGACAGGCCAGTTAACAAAACCATGACTGAATGTATAAGTCCACCATCAAAACCTTAACTCAACGCCTTGGAGTAGTACCAAAGCTTATAGCTTTCAATGTATACATTTGGAAAATCGATTGTTATAGAACTTGGAATCGTAAACTATAAGAAAATAGCATATCAGCTCCCACAACAAAAGGTCACCAACAATTCATCCAGTATTTTTCCAATATTTCACAAGGAGTTGATAAGAATTCTTCTTTAATGGGACAACAAATTTTTGTTTACAATACATTCCCCTCTAGCAGCTGCTCTCAATCATCTGTTAAAGGAGGAGTATTAAAAATTAGTAGACTCTAAAACCCAAAGCACAATAGACTCAGCTTGAAAATTAACAAGTTAATGTCCCTTCACAAAAAGAGCATACCATATCGATAACGATTGCTGCTGGAGAAATCTTCCGTACTATCAAGGTGCTAACTCTCCAGCAATATCTTCAGGAACTTCCCCTACCCGACCAGGATCCACCGGATTCGCAAAAAGATGATGAGATTTATGTGTGGTCATTTCCAATCAATTATCATTATTTAAAACACTAGTTCTTAAGGCATCATATTTCCAAACAAAAATCAATCAGACAGACTGGGATTTTTCTTTGTCTCAAACAGTCATCTTTCTAGCTAACTTTTCATCTTCAATGATTGATTCCAAAGGAACCTTATTCCTAGACACTATAAACTGCGAGAAGTTGAAAAGAAAAACATAGTATCCAAAAACTGTACAGCCAAGAGACAAAACAACCCTGTAAAGAAGAGTTGTCGATCATGAACCCTTCCAACATCGGGCAGGGTCCAGATTCTGATGCTTATTGAGATAAAAAGAAACAAAGCTTTATAGGCTATCAAAACATACCGGGTGATTGTTATAAAATGAAGCTTTTAAAAATAAAAAGAGAAACTGAGAGAAGTTTCTCACCTCGAGGAGTAGACTTAAAGCCACAATTGGTGAGATGATTTGCAAGCGTCTCGCCTAAAGTCTTTTGCCAGTCAGGTACACTTTTAGCTTCCGGTACAGGCCACACTATTGCTGTCTCGGTGGTGAGATTAACACTGGCAGAAGCAACTTGAGGCTACATACCAAAGAAAAGTTGTTGTCTTTAAAAAAAAAACAAAAAAAAAAGTCTAAATAATGGGACAAGACATTTTCTGAGACCATAACAGAGCAGTTCGGTCTTAGGCTTACTTGGTTTTCCAGGATTTTCTTCACGCTTGCTGAACAACCTCCACATGTCATCCCCTTCAATTGAGTAGAACATCGATGTATTGGAGTGAATTCGAAATCATCAAGAATTTAGAGAGAGAGAGAGAGAGAGAGAGAGAGAGAGAGAGAGAGAGAGGGAGAGAGAACGTACTCCGACATCAAGAATAATGATGTCCGAAGACGGAACAGAGACACCATCAGCAGCTGCAGCACCCAATCTCGATTTGGAATCGCCACTATCCGATCCTCCGCCGCCACCGCCGCCGTTTCCACCGTTGTACCCGCCGAATCCTGCACCGCCGCCACTCGATATACTCCTGAAGGACGGAGATGAGGTCGACAAGCACTGCAAACGGCGTCGGATTACCGGCAAAACAGCAGCTCCCAAGCTTCTCAACGCGGAAGAGTAACAAAGCGAATTGGACGAGGTAAGTCGGCTGGAATGAAAGCAACCAAGACGGCGAACGGCGGGAGAGGATCGAGCGAGAATTAGAGGATGGAGGTGTCTGGCGCCGGAAAAGTGGCGGTTAAGAGCTTTAGAGATAGTGAGGAGCGGCAATGAAGGACCACCGGTTCCGGTTCTGGCCATTGCAGTACCCGTGACGGTCGAGAAAGCGGCGAGTGTAGACTCCATGGAAGTGGCTCCCCAGAGTCTCGTTATCTTTGTTTGTTCTCGACTTGTGTCTCTTTAATTTGTTGTTTCTCTAAACGAGTGGTGTGGTGTCAGGTATGAAATCGCATACACGACTTCTCCAAATATTGTAATTTTTTTTGTCATCAAACTTTTGGTTTGTCAAAAGGTTCGTGTGTGAGTCAAAATAATTACAACAAATTGGACGGACTTTTCGTGGTGGTTAAGTCAAATATATTTTACAATCTTGAATTTTTCTTGCAAGCGTGACGTAGAGTCGATTTTAAAACCTGAATGCTCCAAAGAAAATCCAGTTATCTATATACTTGAACTTTATTTGGCCATTTTCCCAACAATGGAAAGTATAACTCTCTGCAATTGCAATATTTATCCGACTTACCCGTTTATTAAGTCAGGCCATTTGGCATATACAGTATTAACAAGTAAAGCTTCAAAGACAAAACCAACAAACGTTTTTACTTTACCAGTACACAAGCCCAATTACTGAGCAAATACTCTCTCTATAATCGCATTACATCATGTAACTTTGATAAGCCATTCTCTTATCCTCTAGACTCCAAGAGATGACATAAGATTCCCGGAACCGAGCCTTCTCTTCCGCAGACGCTCTGCAATGATGAACGCAAGCTCCAAGGACTGAGAAGCGTTGAGCCTCGGGTCACAGTGAGTGTGGTAACGTGAGCTTAGATCGTTGTAAGTGATGGTGCGTGACCCTCCAACGCATTCCGTCACGTTTTGCCCCGTCATCTCTAGATGGACTCCACCGGGAAAGCTGCCTTCTTGATCATGCACGTCGAAGAACGCTCTCAGCTCCGCCTGGTTTCATTCAATTCAATGGGCAAATACATAAATCATATGCAAGATTATAAACAGATATATATAGAGTCGGATGTTGAAGAAAGTAGGAATTATTACCCTGATTGCATCGAAAGACCGAGTCTTTAGCCCACCTGGAGCCATGATTGTGTTTCCATGCATTGGATCACTAACCCAAGTCACAATCTGACCGGCTCCACGTACTGCTCTGATCAAATGAGGAAGCTTGACCCGCATATTCTCAGCTCCCATTCTCACTATAACTGTTATCCTTCCAGGCTTGTTCTGAGGGTTTAGTATCTCTATCAGCTTAACCAGTTCACTAGGGACCATCTTATCACTCACCTGCATCAAAACCACATAAAATTTTCTCAAATTGAGATAAAAGATGAGGAAGCTAACCATTAAACAACAATCATATTGACCTCAACAGTACCTTGATTCCAAGGGGGTTAGCGATTCCCCTCAAGAACTCAACATGAGCACCATCGAGTTGACGAGTTCGTTCCCCAACCCAAACCATGTGCGCAGAGCAGTCATAGTAAAGCCCAGAGGTTGAATCTTCTCTTGTGAGTGCTTGCTCGTACGGCAGTAGCAAGCACTCGTGGGATGTCCAAAACTCAGTAGTAGTCATGATCGGGTGCGCATTGGTAAGTCCAGCTGCACCCATGAATCCTAAAGCCTCGTCGACTCGATTGGCCAGTTCACGGTACCTGCTTCGTCACAACAACAATCAAGAACTAAGAAACTGCCTATGCGATAACAAGTGTTTCCTTACTTAAAGAAAAAGCTGATCACCAAAATCACAAACAAGATGAACAACCTGTCACCCTGTTCGCTATGTTGAGTGAAATCGAGATTCCACTGGCTAACTCTCTGCATCGCGGCGTAGCCTCCAGTTGCAAAAGCTCTCAAGAGATTCAACGTGGCCACAGATTGTGTATACGCTCTAACCATCCGATGAGGATCAGGAATCCTCGACTTCTCATCAAAGGCATCACCGTTTATGTTATCTCCTCTGTAACTCGGCAGCTTCACGCCATTTTTCTCCTCGAACGGGTCCGATCTCGGCTTCGCGAACTGACCCGCCATTCTCCCCACCTGAGAATCCAAAAATGTAAACTTTTATATACCAAACCAACACAGAGAAGATCCAAAATTTATTGAGTTGAGCGGGAAAATCGACCTTGAAAACTGGCATCTGGCCACCGAACATGAGGACGACACCCATCTGGAGAAGAACCCTAAAGGTGTCCCTAATGTTGTTAGCGTTGAATTCCTTGAAACTCTCGGCGCAATCACCGCCTTGGAGCATAAAGGCTTGACCCATGGCCGCTTGTCCAAGCTTTTCCTCCAGTTTCCTCGCCTCTCCAGCGAAGACTATCGGAGGAAAAGAGGAAAGCGTCTCTAGAACAGATTCGAGATCCTTCTGATCTGGGTATTCCGGTAACTGCAAAGCTTTCATCGATTTCCAACTGTCAAGGCTCCATTTGGCCGGAGCGGAGGCTGATTGGGAAGATTTCTTGGGGTCAGTGGAATGGACGGCGTAAACAGGGGAGAAAGAGATCGGACGGTGAGGAGAGTGGCGGTAGGGTAAGAACGATTTAGTCGGGAGCGGAGAAGAAACGTTGAGAGCCACCATCGCTGAATTTGCTTTGAGATTGACGAGGACGACTGGTTCGGCAGAGGATAGAGAGAAACCCCAAAGAAATAAAGATAAAAAAGTTTCAGTGACAAATATATAAGAAAAGTAAACATGTCACATGTAATGAAAAAAAACAATAGCCACAGATGCGTGAAGCGAACACATCTGTCTGAGACAGAGGGTCACCACCGGTACGTCACCCATTACTTCATCGTCTCCAGACCATATGTGTGACTGTTACAGACTTCAATGTTAGTGTCATGGCCGATCATTTGATCCTCTCTCTTCAACCTCCTCCTTTTCGGATCTTCCCTTCTTCTCTTCACCGTCGATGGGGTTTCTCTCGGAGATTTCCCGGTGGAGTTAGCTTCTCCAATCCCGAATTCCGATTGTCCACTCAACTACAGTTGGCAAATTCTACTTCACCTTCAGAGTCTTGTTTATCTTCCTCTTCTTCTCCGGAGAAGTTCGATCTCGTGTCCAGCACTCGTAAGCTGTGTTTCCTCTTTCTTTTTTTTTTTTTTTGTTTTCTCTGTCTCTTCGAACTCAGTCTAGTGTTGTCTTCAGCACAGTTTCGTATCTAAAGTTCGAGTTTTTAAGCTCACTGAAGCCTAAATTATTTGATTATAGCACCAATTTTATGTCGAATTCGAGTATCAAACATAAATTCTTCCCTAGTTTCAAAATGTCTGATGATGAAATTTGATATACTTGATTCGGCTTTGAAATTTGGTATTGATAAGTTGTGTGCAAATGCAGAGCTCAAGGATGGAAGCCATGTCTTCAGATTCGGGGATGCAAGTGAAATTGAGAGAAATCTTGAGACTGAAGAAAAAGCGAGATGCTTAGAGGTAGAAAAGCAACATGCTAAGATAGCAGAAGAAGCCAGTGAAGTTTCAAGGAAACAATTGGTCGATCTCGATCCTGTTTCTGAATTGGAAGGTCCCAAGGCAAAATCTGATGCGAGTGAAAAAACGGTCAATTCTAACATTGAAACAGTTTCCGAGAAAGAAGAAACAGTTGCTCCTGCCAGTCTCATTAAAATTAAGGATCGCAAAAGGGTTCGTTCTCCTACTAAGAGAAAGAAAGAAACTTCAACTTCCGTGAATGTAACTCGGAGCGAAGCTAAAGTTGAAGCCGAAATTGCTCGCATGACTAATCTGAGCTCCATGGTTAGTGTAGCAGAAGCTATTCCTACTAGCTCTACTGAAGAAAAAGTCGTCCTTTCTAAAAAATCTGAGCCGACCAATGAGAATGTAGAGCCTCTTTCTTCTCAAGTCATGGAGAAAGTCTCAGTAAATGAAATAAGAGACTGTGAGCCAAATGGTTATCAACAACTCACTGAGAATCCTGTGGAGGTTCAAGCAAGTCCGATACCATCTACTTCACAACAGGACTCACAATTGAATGATCTCAAGGAAGTTGCGCGAGTATCCGCCATTGAACTTGATGAAAATTTGGATGTTACGGAAAACACAATGAAGACTTTTGCAGCTGAAGAAAATCTTGTGGTTGAACCAACAGCTACAGCTGCTGTGCCTTCTAATGAACTAATTTCAACTTCAGCAGCTGCCGTTGTCGAGATCGCTGAAACGCCTGTGATTGATACGTCTGAGGTGGTGAGTCATAATTCTAAATGATTAAGCAGTGTTAACAGTAGTAGAAGGAAAGATAGATCAGAGAGTGTTGTTGAACAGAAAGGATATAGATAGTGCCCTCACTCTAATTAGTTATCATTCTTGAAGGCAAATGACGGAGAAACTGTGGCTTCAACCGTAGAAGACGAAATAACTGTGAGCGACACAAAAACTGATAATAGTAGCATGTCTACAACCGTCAGTGACACAAAAGTCGAAGATCACCAACTTCCTGCTCCTGAAACGCCCGGTCTTCAATCAATTGAAGTGGCTTCAGACAGGTTAGTAAGTTCTGCTCTTGTGTTTATCAGTCGCTTAATGAACTTACATAGATACAGATTTGCATGCTTGTATCTGTGTATATATTCATACCTGGCTAGAAATCATATCGCAGCTCTTATTAAAGCATGCTTGTGTTTCCTGTGGTTGGATCTTTGACATCTAAACAGGGGAGAACTTGTGTCCAAAAAAGCATTATACTTGGAATCTGGTTTTGCTTCGCTCCAAATCCCCTTTAAGGTACCTGTGATTCTTTCTGTTTGCAGTTCACTTGTTTTCAACAGGTGCAAGTAGTTGTTTTGCAATCACTTACTGCCTTTTATTGGTATAATATATGGAGACTAGTATTCATTCACAATCTGCTTTCTAAAAATCTTACAGTTTCAGAGACTTTGAAAAGATGATTAGACCCTATGAGATATTAATATTTTAATCTTCCCATGTCCCTCCCGGATTTGTTTATTTGGGGACATAGTACATATATACTAAAATAAGTGAGATTTGTCGAAGGTTATCTTAACGCGCACCATAATATTCTACAAGGTTATCTTAAGGTCTTTAATATCTTGGAATATCTTAATCACAATCTCATTTCCCACCACCTCAAAATCATCATTTATAACATTCTGACCAATTTTAAAAAGATTTTATGTTATGAGGTTAGTAATTTAGAAATAATGATGTCCAGGCATTGGCAGGTCGGGAAGATGCTTATTTTATCTCTCACGACAACTGGCTAGGTGTTGCCGATGGAGTCTCTCAATGGTCTTTTGAAGGTACATTTAAGTTTTCTTCACTTAGTCATCTCCAGAAAAACACTTCACTAGTAAGTTCTTTCTTATCGGACATATATGTTTGGTTCGTCCTTCAGGAATCAATGAGGGAATGTATGCCCAAGAACTCATGAGCAACTGTCAAAAGATCATATCTGATGAAACTGCAGAGAGAACTGATCCAGTTCAAGTTCTCCATAGAAGCGTCAGTGAGACTAACTCTCAGGGATCATCGACAGCCTTGATTGCTCATCTTGACAATAATGTGAGACTTATTTGCAATCCTTTTTGGGTAATAATAAGAGTGCGTGGAGATAGAGACAGTCTATGATCATGTAAAAAAATAACTTTGTAGGAACTCCACATAGCCAATATCGGAGACTCGGGATTCATGGTTATCAGGAACGGAACAGAATTGCAGAAGTCGTCTCCAATGTTTCATCATTTTGGTTTCCCCTTGCAAGTTACTCAAGGCGATGATGTTCTAAAACTTGCAGAGGTACGGTTGCCTCTAACTTAACCAATGCCAATCAGTTTTCCAAACAGAATATAAGGCGGGAATGTGATCAATCAAATCCGCAGGTTTACCATGTAAATATGGAAGAAGGAGATGTTGTCATCACAGCAACTGATGGACTCTTTGACAACTTGTATGAGAAAGAAATTGTTTCAATAGTATGCAGGTCACTGGATCAGAGTTTGGAACCTCAGGTGCTCATTGTCTTTTTTGTTGTTGTTTGGTTGACCAACTAGTTTCGGGTCGTGTCTTGAATGAGTCACTTTGCTCGTTATCAATTGGATTAACATGTTAGTGGTGTAGCAGAAAATAGCAGAGTTGGTGGCTACAAAGGCACAGGAGGTGGGACGATCTGAGACAGAGAGAACGCCATTTGCAGACGCAGCTAAAGAAGAAGGATATGATGGGTACAAAGGTGGTAAAGTTGATGCTGTTACTGTCATCGTTTCACTTGTTAAAACCCTCTCTATCTAAATTAAATATTCATCTTCCTCTGCGACTGTAAATAGAGAGAGAGAGAGAGAGAGAGAGAGAGAGAGAGAGAGAGAGAGAGAGAGAGAGAGAGAGAGACTCACAACATCATCATCATCATCATCATCTTCTTCATCAGTTGGTTTTTCTATTTTTTTTTTAATTGAAACGATGTTCACTGTGTAGAGTAAAGTGTCCTTCCTGAGCTTTTTCACTTGTCCTAGGCAGTTAGTATATAATCTTAAGTTAACTAATGTGGCTTGATTTTAAGATTAGATACACTCTAAACACACTCTGTTATTTACTAATTTTAAAGGCTATAAACATTGGGCCCAAAAAATGTTATATGGGTGGTATTACTCCACTGATATTCAAAGCCCAAATCGAGACCATATTTACCAAATCCTAAAACTCGCTCAATCAGACAAGAACAAAACAAAATGAAGTTTCTCCTGGGAAATGCCTCTTTAACCTTAAACCCTAAGAGCAGCAAACTAGCGACCAAGGTTCTTCTACCTTTGATCCATCTAATCCTGGTTAAACCCTTCTCTCAATCCACCTCCATTCCCACAAAACAGGAGCGAGTTCGTGACCATGGCTACGACAATTACATGGAAGTCGAGAAGAAAATCCGCAAAGTCGTCAAATTTCACAGCCTCATCCTCTCTCAGCCCAACAACACCATCCCAATCTCTCTCCTGGACACGCTCGCTCGCCGTCTCGGCCTCGGCCTCAAGCAGCACGAGCCCGGCGCTTTCCTCCTCAAATTCCCTCACGTCTTCGAGGTTTACGAGCACCCCGTTCAGAGAATCCTCTACTGTCGCTTAACCCGAAAGGCCTTGGATCAGATCCGTCACGAGCACGAGGCTGTTCTCGCCCAGATACCCGACGCCGTGACCCGCCTCCGGAAACTCGTGATGATGTCGAACACGGGTCGGATCCGTCTTGAACATGTCCGGATCGCTCGAACCGAGTTCGGTCTCCCCGAGGACTTCGAGTACTCTGTGATTCTGAAACACCCAGAGTTCTTCAGGCTCATTGATGCCGAAGAGACTCGGGATAAGTACATCGAGATTGTGGAGAGAGAAGCTAGCTTATCGACATGCGCGATTGAGAGAGTCAGAGAGATTGAGTACAGGTCGAAAGGCATCGACGCAGAGGATGTTCGATTCTCCTTCGTCGTGAATTTTCCTCCTGGGTTTAAAATCGGAAAGTACTTCCGAATCGCTGTCTGGAAATGGCAGAGGCTTCCTTATTGGTCACCGTACGAGGATATCTCCGGTTACGATTTAAGGTCGATGGAAGCGCAGAAGAGACTGGAGAAGAGAGCCGTTGCCTGCATCCACGAGCTGCTGTCTTTGACCGTGGAGAAGAAGATAACGCTCGAGAGGATCGCTCATTTCAGGAACGTTATGAATCTGCCCAAGAAACTGAAAGAGTTTCTGCTTCAGCATCAGGGGATTTTCTACATATCGACTCGTGGGAACTACGGGAAGCTTCACACGGTGTTTCTAAGAGAGGCGTACAGGAGAGGGGAGTTGGTGGAACCGAATGATGTGTATTTAGCTAGGAGGAGGATGGCTGAGCTTGTGTTGATGAGCCCTAGAAAGGCCAAGGTCGATGCAGAGCTGGTTCATTACAGAAATCGGTTGGACGATGAAGATGATATCGAGTGAGATCAATGAGTTGGTAATTACGTTTGAATTTCTTCTCATTCTTTTAGCTTTTCATCTGATGTTGTTGAGTTTTCAAATTTATCGTTTTTCTTGCTCTAATGGCAGATTGGTTTCCGGGAAAGCTAGAAGTGGACTGATGATGATGATGATGAAGAATTGTGAAAAGGTCCTTTTTTGAGCGAGTCTTTAAATGATTGTGGAGGGCCACTCATTGTTCTGTGTCAATTTGAATCCAAGGAAGATGCCAGCAAGATTGCTTACTTCAGCTGCAAGATATACTTTGGGCTCTACTCTTTCTCATCACCAATTATTCCTTAACCCGATTCATGATTTTCGCAGATACTAAGAAACAACCTGGAATATTTTGTTTTTTTTTTTCTTTCTTAAGCCCTATGGTTTAAGCCAAGAATCCTTTCCTGTCTACTTATGGCAACCCCCAAAAAATTCTTTCTTTGCTAATGCAAAAAACCCTTTTTCAAGCATCATCCAACAAAAAGACAATTCTTTGTAAATAAAATATCTTCAACTCGTAAATGTCTTAGCATTTGTCGTTTTCCACCACCATCATCATCATCACGTGATTGGCTAATACAAATAATTATTTTTCTTATTATACTATTTTCGCCACAAGCCGTGACGATGGAGAAAATGAATGTCCGTTTTTTAATTGCGTTGATGGTGATGTCTCTGGTTCTGGGTTTCTCGTCGGCAGTTGATTTCAGATGGAGGAAAACGGCGGGATTCTCTGATAGATTCACCAGAGCCGTTTCTTCAGTTGTGTTCCCAGTTCATGGGAACGTTTATCCTCTTGGGTATTTATATTTTTTCCCCAATTTTTTTTTTGATTATGATCACACTCATTTTGCAGGAATTAGCTAAATTATGTTTTACACTTCTTTGATTTGGAACAGGTATTACAATGTTACCATCAACATAGGACAACCACCAAGACCTTATTATCTTGATCTTGACACTGGTAGTGATCTCACATGGCTCCAATGTGATGCTCCTTGTGTTCGTTGCTTGGAGGTATAATGCTATGATTACTTCATTTTCAATTCTCCTCTTTTTCTGGATTCAGTGTCATAGTTTCATCTTGCGGATTTAAGAAAAAAATCTCTTATTTGGTTTCCAGGCACCTCATCCACTTTATCAGCCTAGCAACGATCTGATTCCTTGCACTGATCCACTTTGTAAAGCATTGCATATTAATGGTAACGATAGATGTGAGGCTCCAGAGCAATGTGACTATGAGGTTGAGTATGCTGATGGAGGATCTTCTCTTGGCGTTCTTGTTAGAGATGTCTTCTCTTTGAACTATACGGAAGGTCTCCGGCTCACCCCTCGTCTTGCTCTCGGGTATATATATCTTTGGACCGACTATTTTGTTACTTTGGTTCAAGGAATTAGTTTCTTAGCTTGTAGTCCTATAACTGGAGTTTTTTGTGTGTAACAGATGCGGATACGATCAGATCCCAGGGGCTTCGAGTCATCATCCTCTAGATGGAGTATTAGGGCTTGGTAGAGGGAAAGTAAGCATCCTGTCGCAGCTTCATAGCCAAGGTTATGTGAAGAATGTTATCGGTCATTGCTTAAGCAGTCTAGGTGGAGGAGTTCTGTTTTTCGGCAACGATCTTTATGATTCTTCAAGGGTCTCTTGGACACCCATGTCCCGTGAAAACTCGTAATTTGCCCGTTACTCTTTGTTAACCGGATCACTCTTTTTCTCTCTCTTTCTTGCTCTAAATTTTCAACATATTCATCAGTAAACACTACTCTCCGGCAATGGGAGGGGAACTTCTGTTTGGGGGAAGAACAACGGGACTGAAGAATCTAGCGACAGTATTTGACAGTGGCAGTTCTTACACGTACTTTAATTCCAAGGCATACCAGGCAGTAACGTACTTGGTAAGGGATCTTGTAAAACCTTGGAGAAGATAAAGAGAGAATAAACCTGTTTTTTTTTACTTTTTATTCATTCTAAGTTTTGTTGTCCCTTTGGTATAGCTAAAAAGGGAGCTAAGTGGAAAACCGTTGAAAGAAGCACGGGACGATCACACGCTGCCTTTATGTTGGCAAGGACGTAGACCGTTCATGAGCATTGAAGAAGTCAAGAAGTATTTCAAGCCTCTAGCTTTGAGCTTCAAAACCGGCTGGAGATCCAAAACTATGTTTGAAATTCCCCCAGAAGCTTATCTCATCATTTCCGTAAGCAATTTTGTTTCTCTATCAGTTTCTTGACTCTTTTTTTAGTACAAATGCTAGAAACATACTTAATTAAAAATGTTCGATGCAGATGAAAGGGAATGTATGTTTAGGGATCTTGAATGGCACAGAGATTGGTCTCCAGAACTTAAACCTCATCGGCGGTAAAGTCTTAATATATAATCCATTTGGCAATCTCAGGATCTTGGTTTAGGGAGTCGACAAGTCTTTATAATCTCTGTTTGATTTTGACAGATATATCGATGCAAGATCAGATGATAATCTATGATAATGAGAAGCAATCCATCGGGTGGATTCCAGCGGATTGCGATGAACTTGCTTCACTAAAAGCTGCTGCTCAAGTGTATGAATATTAACAAAAAAAGAGTTATATACTATAATCCTTGGTACCGAGATGTAATAGATCAAAACTTTATTGTAACGCAGCTTATATCTTTGCCAAAATGAGATGTAATAGATCATATCATTTGTTATCAGAAATTATAATTGGAAGTTGTTCATACTCTCAATCGAATTCATTTTGTGTTTCATTTAAAACTCATAACTTTAGAATTAACTGAAACTTTCAGTGCCAAATTGTTTTAGACGTATGATGATTCGGTTTACTAATTTTTATGGTCTACAGTGAGTGAACTTTGGTAAGTGGCTTCCTCGAAGCAAATCACAAACTTTACGTCGGTCTCAAAACTTCAACACTATCTCATTTCTCCGGCCGGCGAATTTACTTGCTCTCACTCTCTCAAGGGAGAAGCCAAAGTCATCAACTTTTTATCTCTATCTGTCTCGCTTCCATGGCTTTCTCATACTCCTTGACTTCGCCTTCGCCAAATTCGACTCTCTCCTATTCCAACACCCATCAATTTCAGAACCCGTCTTCTTCATTTCCCGTTTCGTTGTCTGTCTCATCCCCAAACAACACACGCCGACTTCGACTCCTCATCACCTCCGCGTTGAATCCGCAGACGGGACAGCCAACGAAGAAGACCTCGACAGGTACCAGCAATACTACGAACAAGAAACGAAAGAAAAAGGGCAAAACTGTGAGTCCTAAGGAGAATTGGGAATTGAGAGATGTAGATGCTCTTGAGGAAGATTTTGATGATGGTTCCGATTATTCTTCTTCGACTTCTCTAGCAACGTTTAACTCTCCTCCTACCATACCCAAACCACCTGCTGGGTTCGTGATTGATGAAACTGGTAGAGTTCTTATGGCATCTAAGAAGCGAATCGCTACTGTGGTGAGTCAATTTTTACTCCACCTTCGCTTTGGTTATGGATATAATAAAGTTTTGGTGTTTGGGGGAAATAAAATGAGAAGCTAAATGGTTTGTGGTACAGATTGATCCAACAAACAATAGCCCTTTGGATTGTGTGATAAGAAGAGTATTTACAAGTAGTAAAGGAGAGGATTGTATGCTTCTTTGCCCTGTGGATACGTGAGTACTGTGTTCTTTCTTCTTCTTCTCTTATCATTTTGGCAACTTCTTCTTTCATGTTTGATTGATTCGTTTCTTGCTTCAGGCCAGTTCAGATTTTGAAGAGCACTAATATAGATGGATGGTCAGCTGTAAGTTTTCACCTTCATGAATCTTACTCTCATTTCCATTATTTGCTTCAAAAGAGAGAGACTTTTTGGATGCATGAACACTCTGCTTTTGAGGGCACTGATATTAATTTAACTGTCACACTCGATGAAGTAGTTATTCGTTTTACTTATCCGGATGTTTCTGCCTTTTTAGGTCAGTGATGAAGAGGTTGAATCTCTTCTTCCTGCTGCTGCTTATGCTCTTGCAAAGATCCATATGCATCTAGTACACAGCGGGTATGACCGTGCCCTGTTTCAAGAATAGTTAAAGCAGGACACTTTTCATATCCTATGTCTCTGATTCCAGCCTAATGAGTTTATCGCTGTAAATCAGATTCTGCTACACTGCAAGGGGAGGGTTTTGCTACACGGAAGATAATGTCTTCGATTTTCGCACAGGCAACAATCTCTTTCTTCTGATATTTTATGCATCATGACAATTCTTCTGATTAATATTCCCCAGCATCTGCTCTAACATGATGAGCACAGTAAATGACTTTCGCTTCATATCTACGAGTCTGCTGACTTATACTATCTTAAAGTTGTGTGTCCTACTTTGCTCATAATATTAAAAATGTGTAGAACATCAACTATTTGCAGATGATGGCCAAGATGTTGAAGGCTTGCCGACTGAAGGGATCGAGATTACATGTTTCCATCTGGTATATAATTACTTTCAGCATTTTGCTTACTGATACGTTTGAGGTGCCTCTTACAGTATTCTGAACATTGTTTGGAGATGTTACTATCATTGCATATTTTGAAACATTTAAACATGGCATTCAATTCATTGTGGATCCAAAGTTGACCATCCCTTTTCCGCTGTCTGAAAACAAATTCTGAATCAGGATGGATCACACTATATGGTCTACACGCCTTCAGATCCACTTCTCTTTGTTGCTGCTAAGGTAAGTATATGATTGTTGTTTATAGAAAGAAAATGAGAAACAGAGTGATAGATAAATGCCAACTTGGTCTATATGCAGGATCCGAATGGGCTGCTGCAAATTGCTGATGATGTAAGTGAAGTTGTATTTATGTCATATGGAACTTGGTTAAGACTCGTTTCCACTGCTGCTAATGGTCAATATGAAGTTAAGCTATAACACTTTTATGTATGCCAATGGGTTACAGGAGCTCTTAGACGACCCAGCTGTGATCAGCGCTATAGACGAGGAAACCGAATTCAATGCCTTGGTGGTACGTACAGAAAATAGCAAACAAACTTATTAAAATATGTGTTTGTCTGTTGGAAGAAGAAGCGATACTGAATGTGGTAAGTGATTGTTTGTGCAGGAGGAAGAGGCGGCTCTTCTGGAATCGCTGCTTGGGGAAAGAATTTAAGAGTTTTTTTCATAGGGATTGTGCTTAGCTTTCTTTTTAATTATGTTCCATAAATTGCAATTACCTGTGGTTTATATACCTCTGATGTTCCCTTTGCAAATCTCTTGTAGACTCTTATCCTTTGGAATGGAGTGTTTATTGAGTTCGGGTCACTTGTATGATCTCCATTACCAGAAGCTGTCCACAAAAATAGGGTTTAAACCGAAGAAACTCCATTGCTTAAATAAGTAATTCTTCTTCTATTTTGTAAATCTGGATCATCGATTTATCACGTAATTTATAAAGCAACTATCGAAGTTTATGAAAATTTAATAAAATAGTTGCTGTATATAGTAGAATCTTTTCCAAATTTCAAACTTTTTTACAATATTATTGTGTTTATGGTGGGAGTTTGACCGTAAAAAAGTCTATCTATTAACTAAGACTTCTTCAAATTCTTTTATTAACACTTTTTTCTTTATAATTCTTTTATTAGCATTTTTTTTTATAATTTTGTTCTGGCTTAAACTGAAATGATTGAAAAACTTGTTGGAGGGAGAAATCACGTCATTTATTGATTCAGCAGTTGGTTCGTGTTTCATCGCGAGTGAAGCAATTTTTTTTCCAGCAATGCATGGTCCCGATATATGTTTTAGCAAAATCTTGGCAAGCATTGTCGATTTCTTTTCGCGTATATACTAAATTTTAAAAAACTTCTCATTTTTCCTTCCACGTATAAAAGGAGACTATTTTAATAATTTACAGTACTATCCATAAAGTTTATCAATTTTGTAGCATAATCTATCTGCTTCTCGCATTATTACTTTACACAATTTTTGTAATTTTTGGTACTGTTTATAAAGTATATAATTTTAAAATTTTATATTTTATATTATATATTTAGTTATATTATATATTAGATACATGATTATATGATGCATATATAAAAAATAAATTATGTATATAGTTAAATAAATTTTTATATTTGGTATATAAATAAAAATAAAAGAATTTAAAAAGTTTAGGAACTGATTTATAAATAAAAAAGTTAATTTTTATTATAGAAGAATAAATAGAGTTTTTCCAAATATAAAAAAAAATATAGTATTTTTATTTTAAAGATAAAATCTTTCTTTTAAATAGAGATAGAATGGAAATGATGTATTAGAACAACTCTCTTTGCAATCTACCAAAACCGAACACACCCACCTAAATTCAGTCATGAAATTGAACTTCAGTAAGTTGGGTCTGTCTAAACTAATGGGTCTCTAAAAGACCTACTGTATGCTCTCTAGTCAAAGCCGTCGAGAGCCAAATTTCGAACTTACATGTATTTGTTATTGTGCTTAATGATTATGGTGGGAGTTTGACCGTAAAAAGCCTATCCATTAATGAGACTGTCATATTCTTTAATTAACATTTTTTCATTGTAATTTTGCTCTGCCTCAAACAAGCTCTAAGCTTTGGATTGAGGGACAACAATGTCCATGGCGCTAACCGTACGGCCTCTCTTTCTTCCTGGTAATTCTAATCAATGCTTTCTCTATCGGCCAGCTTTGTCGGTTTGACTCTGCTTTTCATTCATTAGATAGTCCCCAGGAGAAAAGGTTTATGTGAATTTATTAAAATTTTAATTGCTTTAGGAAGTTGTGGAATTTCTGGGAGTAGAAGCATATGCAAGAAGAATCACCATTTGGTTGGTTTCAATTTGCGAAACCATCTTGAGAAACCCAAAGGAGCTTCTTCCATTTGTTGCTCATTGAGTACAGAGAAGGATCCTCTCTTACCTTCTATACAACAGTTAGCCGATGCTCGTCTCATCTATAGTGTATCTGCAGCATTGGGTCATAACAAGGTCCCTTTTCACTTTCTTGTTTGTTTCTGTCCCTCTCAATCCTTTCTTGTACATTCTCTTATCTTTTTTGCTCACAGGAATCACATCCTGAATGCAGCGCAAGAGTTCCTGCCATTGTTACAGCACTTGACAAGAATGTGCTCACTCCCAAGGCATGAAACCATCCATCTCTATCGCTTTTTTTTATATTGAATTACAATGTTTGTGGAAAAGTTATGTTGGCTTGTAATTGTGTTGGATCGACTTGCACTTTTCTACTAGAGTTAGATTGACCTATGATCTATCTATGGATTCTCAAATGTGAACTGTTTTCCTCCCGTAATTTCAGTTCCGTGGCTCAGAGATTCTTGAACTCGCAAATTTTAAGTCTGCCACTATAGAAGATATTGCAAATGTTCACGATAAGGCTTATGTCTATGGCCTGGAGAAGGTTATTCACTTTCCTCATGCTATAGCAACTTTATAGTGTTCTCTAAGTACCCAATACATAGACACATAATAGCAAAGTACCAAGCTTTGAAGATTATAAGGAATTGGAGTATGAAATTATCTGACCATAACAAAGGCATTTTTAGTTTAGGCAATGGATGAAGCTTCAGCGTCAGGACTAATTTTCATAGAAGGTTCTGGGCCAACATATGCCACTTCAACTGTAAGTGCCTTGTGCTCCTCGGTTTTACATCTCTAAAAGAACCATTTTTTTTTTCTTACCTGATTCTCTTCCTCCTCTGTCTCAGACATTCCAAGATTCACTTTTCGCAGCAGGAGCTGGAATGGCTTTAGTTGATTCAGTGGTGATGTCTCGTCTCACCGCGTTAGTCTGCTTTACTGCTTCGGATTCGTCATGTTGGAAATGGTTATAGATTTCTTAGCAACGTGATGGATTATATGCATCAGGTCGCAGCATCCAGAAACACCCTTGACCCTCCCACTGGCTTTGCATTGATAAGACCTCCAGGACACCACGCCGTGCCGAAAGGTCCAATGGGGTTCTGCGTTTTTGGTAATGTGGCAATCGCAGCTCGTCATGCACAACGAGCACATGGTCTGAAGCGTGTCTTCATAATTGACTTCGATGTTCACCATGGGAATGGCACAAATGATGCATTTTACGATGACCCTGATATATTCTTTTTGTCAACTCATCAGGTAAAAGCCTATATACATGAGTTTCTGCATGATATGTTTTATCTAGTTTTAAAAATGAACCACGCAAGTCTTTATGTCTGAAACAAATATGCAGGATGGAAGCTATCCTGGAACAGGGAAAATCAGTGACATAGGCAAAGGAAAAGGTGAAGGTACCACTCTTAATTTACCTTTACCTGGAGGATCAGGTGATATTGCAATGAGAAGTGCTTTTGAAGAAATCATTGTTCCATGTGTGCAACGTTTCAAGCCAGATCTTATTCTTGTTTCTGCTGGGTGAGTGAACTGAAAGATCAAGTTTTCCGTTTGTCTTTGAACTGTATCATTTCATAGTTTACAAATTTTCGTTTGCCTCATAAATTGCTCCCATATGTGCTTTTAGATATGATGCTCATGTCCTGGATCCACTAGCAAATCTACAGTTCACGACCGGAACATACTACTCATTGGCGAAAGATATAAAGCGGTTAGCGAAAGAAGTATGCGGAGGGCGTTGTGTGTTCTTCTTGGAAGGAGGATACAATCTTGAATCACTTTCATCATCTGTGGCAGACTCGTTTCGAGCATTGCTTGGGGAAGAAAGCTTGGCATCAGAGTTTGATAACCCAGCTTACTTGTATGATGAGCCCATGAGAAAGGTGCGAGCTGCAATTGATAGAGCCAAAAGCATCCATTGCTTATAAGGAGAGGAGGCTTTGCTTAAGAGGTTATGCATTGACCTGTCCACGTATCTGTTTTGTTGGGATTATATGACTAACACAATATATGGCAAAGCAGAGGTACTCAGAAGTGAAAATAGTTGCATTACGTAAGCAAACAAATAATAAAAGTGGAGTCGAATGAACGAAAAATTCAGCAACAAAAATAAAAATGGTACGAAATTTAAAACACGGCGATAATACTAATACACACCTATAAATTGAACCACTACGTTTGCATGGTTATTAAATTACAGTAAAATGTTATTGAGTAGATATTAACATAGGTACAATAAGTTTATGCTTTTTGTTTATATATTTTGTCCAAAACAGATGGCAGGCAAACCTAATATTTTATAAATAAATATTAACAAAACTTCCACGTACACTTATACATTTCAGGAAAATATCTCAATACGCCGACCAAACGCCAATTAAAAAAAGAAATCGAACTCTCTCGTCTACGTTATCAAAAATATCAAGAGTCATTCATGCAAATCGAAATTGCATTCCAGTTTTGACTGCTGATCCTAAAAAGCAAACCGACACGTGCATAGTCACCGCCATTATTGACACGCCACGTGCCCCCAATCCACCGCCTTAATCCGCCCCTTCACGCCACGTTGCGTTGTTCAGCTTCTTATTTCTCACTTACGTCCCCACATCGTACTTACTATTTAAAACATGAGATCTTTTAATGGAATCATCTCCACTCTTCTCTTCTTGATTCTTATATATAATAGAACCAAATCTTTGACCAAATAAAAGAAGAACCAAACCAAAAAGACTTTGAGAGATTTATAATCACTTTTTTTTTGCTGTTTTGTTCTGAAGCTAAATTTGAGATGGAAGTAGGCAAGAGAAGGGAGATGTTACAGAGGAAGTCGTCGATAGATACAGAGCCCATGACATTGAATCTCGATCAAATAGAGAATGCTCGAGAGGAAGCAATGTGTGTGATCAGAACCAAGACGTTTGAGGAAGCTATGGATATTTTCACAAAGGTAGCTATATATTAATTATGTACTTAATATTAATCCTTGGTTTTCTCTTTCTCTTCAATTCTTTTTGTTCTTGTTTATTTTGGAACGTTAATTAATGGAACTTTAAAATCAGGAGACGCGAGAGGGCTCAAGGGCTGAGGAAAGAGGAGATAGATGCTTAGACTCAAAAGAGGATCATGATGATGAAGACGAAAGTTTAGTTTTTCTTAGTCCTTGTGGTTGGGACATTGCTTCAGCTCCTTTCTAATTTGAAGCTCCTTTTTTTGTCCTCCTTTTCAGTTTGCCTTTACTCCTTCAATACTTCTTGTCATTTTTTTGAATGCTTAAGGATACTTTAGATGTTGAATATACTGTATACTTTACAATCTTCGTCTGTTATATGGGGAAAAAAAATCATTTTAATCACAATCGTTGCTTTTGAAATATTTGTAAAACACGTTTCGTAGAGCTGCTTCTGTCGTTTGTTGCGATGGAAAATCTGGAAGGTGAGAAGTTTGATGTTTAAAGCAAAATATTATTTACTCGAAAAAAAATACTTGCAAAATCATTTTAGAAGAGTTTTGTGTAAAATGCAAGGACAAGGTGGTATCGTTTATATGGATTTTAACAGTCATGAAACGACGAAGCCATAGTTATAACTGAAATTGGTACGTCGTACGGCCGAATTGTCTATAGATTTTGTAGTTAAAGAACTTTTGAGACAATTTTCAATTAAACATAATACGGCAAATTAATGATGGAGGCTAAAACATAGGTTTTTCCTTTTAAGTAATAAAAGATTATTATTTACAAATGTACAAAAGGCTAAGATTCATAAATTTTACTACGCCGACCAAAAAAAAATAAGATAAATTTTATTATGAACTATCTGATTCGGGTTATATATATATATATATATATATATATATCGTTCTCACAATTGTATAAAAACGCTAGTAGGGTTAATAAATAAAAAATAGCTCCCATCGGAAGAAAAAACGTACGGTACAAGATTAGGAAAGCAGAAACCCTAATTCACATCGACTCGAGCAGGACCAAGATGCAGATGATGAAGCATACGCAAAGGATTTTCGCCAAGGTATGCAAACATTATTATTACTCCTTTATCCGGATCCCCACTCCGATATCGCTGTTCGTGATTGTATTATTGTTTGTATCCGAGATGTGCAGTATTGTCGAAGAGCGTCTTCAACCATCGCCTCTTCCCCCATGTCCCGGAGCGTCAGGGATTCGTGGAAGGAGCAGAGTGGCTTGGGTTTGGCATGAGCTTGAAAAGTATGGTCTTTGAATTCATAAGATGGACCTTATTTTGTATTCGTTTCTAAAAATCCAGCTTGTGACTTTTTTTTTATAACTATTTCAACCAATATTGATGTTTTCAGATCTTTACCATCTAAGAGAGCATTGGCACAAAGTAGACAGAATGTCGGAGGAGAGCATGAAGCGTTCAAAAGAGCTGGTTTCTGAAAGTGCACAGTTGAACTGGGTAAGGAAAGCTTGATTCCTCAGTTTGGTTTGTTTGTATGTAATGTACGCATATTCAACCATTACTCTTACCGGTCATGTTTCAGGCAATCACCAACAAAAAATAATCTGCCAATGGCTCGTGTTCTTCTTCTTCTCTTGTGTTGTGTTTCTGCCAAAAACTGTTGCTTTTAAGTTTATTTTATCTGGACTATGTATTTGTATTCTCGGAACCAACCATGCTGTTGCGTTTGGTTCCTCTTATCTATTTACTGCATGACTCTTTTGCTACCTTGTTGGGTAAAAAATCACTGTAGGTAGACAAATCCTAATCCATGATTGCTAAAACCGGTATGGTTCGAATCGAACCAAACCGAACGCATTTTATTGATAAAAAATCCGGAGACGGTATGTGTGTTGATGGGGTTGAGAGGAAGAAGGAAGCTGCGAACTCCTGAAAAATGAATGCCCACTCTTTATTTCCAGCTTCTCCTCCTCGCCTCTTCCCTCTGCGCTCTATTTCCAGTGTTTCTCCTTCTGGTACTCACAGAATCGGAGTCTCCGATGACATCGCCGTCGAGTGTCGGAATCTCTGTTTCTCCGCCAGTACAAGACCGGGGATATCTGTCCCTATTCTACGGGATTGCTCCTTTCGGATTCCTTCTGGACAATTATGGATGCTTCTTGGTCCCAATGGCTGTGGTAAATCCACCCTTTTGAAGGTCTTTCTCTTCTCTCTTCCTTGGGAATTTGCATTTACAGAGCAAAAACAATCTAAACTTTCTCTCATGAATCTTTCATCATCCTTAAGTCATCTTTCGCATTGCTATTGCCACTTTGGGTCAATTTTTCTAGCACAGTTTTAGAGCAATTTCTGATTCCTGGCGCTGTGCAGATTTTAGCCGATGTAGTGAATCCAACCAGCGGCACTGTCTTTGTGGAAAAGCCAAAGAACTTTGTATTTCAGAATCCTGATCATCAGGTTATGTTTCTTGCTCTTACAATGTTAGTCATTTCTTTGTTCATTATATGTTAAAGGATCATGCTTTTTTTCCTGAAATTGCATTGTTGTTTTATGGTTGAGTTTCCCTCTGTTGTTACTTATGTTAGTGTCTTCCTTTTATCATGCCTACATATCATGTAATCAGCTTTAATCCAAACTTTGAATTTCTGTTCGAAAAGAAAGCAATGTTCTTGTTCTGTTAATAGTTTGATACCATCAAGAAGAATCATATTATGATCCTAAGCAATCTGTTCTTGTTGCCATTGCTAAAGACAGACCGGTCAGTAACAGTTGCGTTTTCAAGTGAATACCATGACTGTGGCATTGTTTGAAACATCATCTTGCATCGCACAGGTAGTGATGCCTACTGTAGAAGCGGATGTCGCATTTGGTCTTGGCAAGTATCCTGACATGAGTCAAGAGGAAGTTAAGTCTAGGGTGATGACAGCCTTGGATGCAGTTGGTATGCGTGATTATATGCAGGTCGGCTTATGTAGATTGAACAATCAAAGATTGTTTATGGGGGCCCCTAGTTCCATTTACTAAAGATTTAATTTCTGTGATTTGTTTCCAGAGACCGATTCAAACTCTCAGTGGTGGTCAGAAACAAAGAGTCGCCATTGCTGGTGCTTTAGCTGAAGCTTGCAAAGTGCTTTTGTTGGATGAGCTCACAACCTTCCTAGATGAGTCTGACCAGGTAAGGTTTTGATTAATCCTAACAGAAATGCTAATGAAACACACAAGTAGTATCGTGAGACTAATCCTTTTATGATTGTGTTGAGCTACTTTGACATTGGAAAGAAGTAACTTTGCACGTTTGTTATCGAGTTTTGTTTGCAGTTGGGTGTGATCAAAGCTGTGAAAGATCTAATAAATGCAAAGAAAGGAGGAGATGTGACGGCGTTATGGGTGACACATCGGTTAGAGGAGCTCGAGTATGCGGATGGAGCTGTGTATATGGAGAACGGGAGAGTGGTCAGGCATGGTGATGCAGCCACCATCCTGGATTTCATTAAGGCCAAACAATCTTCTTACATTGATCAAATCGGTTTTTAACTTTCTCTGTTAATCGAAAAAGTTGTAGCATATATAGAGGCAGTGAAAAGTGGTGATTATTGGCTAAGCTTTAGTAAAAAGATTGTGATCATATATACAGTACTTGGAGCTAACACACGACCATTCGTTTCAGTTGAGTGAGCAAACCTTTGTTTTTTTTTTCTCCAAACGGTAAAATGCAAAAACTCCGGATATTATTTAATTAGGCACGTCTCCAAATATTTATTATTTTCGTATAATAATTGAAAACATGGACAAAATATGAATTTATAGAAAGTCTAAATTCTGTGTGCCCCCTACCAACGTTGACCAATATACTTGGTCAGAGTGAAATATCGGAACAATCATGGAATATTTTCAACACGGGACACCCAAACCTAATAATTTGTTCAATTTTTGCAGTCATCATTCATATTATATCTGTGTGTGTGTATGTATGTATGAATGTATTTATGTATGTATGTGTATGTATTAGTTCATTGAGTTGTAAATAAAAATCATGTTAGAATTTCAAAATTTTTAAACTTGTATACATAACAACTCTACGAGAGATGCCATATACTTGGTGAACACATGCGGTACTCCAAGTGTTACATTGCATATCCAAGATGATTCGTAATGGCAAATCCGTAGAGATTTCATGTTCAGTAAGTAAGACGTAAGGCCTTGATGCTATATTGTAACAGAAATATCTTTGTTGTTTTATAAATAATTTTAATTAAGATCTTTGGGTTACATATCTGTATGCCTAATAATTATTTTTGATGATACTAAATAATTTTTGTTTCCCAAATGTAGTAAAATTAGATTAAGTACTCATTAGTGTCACAGAAGTATTAAGTTGCAGTAAAAACACTATTGTAGAAAGGACACTGTTGGTATATGTATATATATTCTAAGCAAGAACTAGTGGAAAGAATAATTCTGTTTTAAAAGACAAATTTTTGGTTGAGATGAGTATAATAAGGATATTAAAATAAAAGGAGAGGGTGTCTTGTAGAAAGAAGAAAAGTGACTTATCATCTATAACCCTAGAGAAGAGAAGATAAACAAGACCAACCCTCTCTTTTTTATTCCTTTTATTTTTCTTTCTTTCTTTGTCTTAATTTTCATCCTTTTTATCATTTCACCTTAGACTAATCTATTCTTATTCCTCTTTCTTCAACAATTACTTGGTTTTTGATATAGGTGGAGATAGAGATAGCATCCATGGAAATGTCTAGAGGAAGCAACAGTTTTGACAATAAGAAAACTAGTTGCCAAAGAGGTCACTGGAGACCTGTCGAAGATGACAACCTCCGGCAACTCGTGGAACAATACGGCCCCAAAAACTGGAATTTCATTGCTCAACATCTCTATGGAAGATCAGGTAATATATCCATATCTTGATCGTAATTTCTTATATATATGTATATCTATAAATCTCCTATGTGTTAGATCTATGTGTTTTTATAAATAATTGAGTGATATATGGATTCATATAGGGAAAAGCTGTAGATTGAGATGGTACAATCAACTTGATCCAAACATCACCAAGAAACCTTTCACCGAGGAAGAAGAAGAGAGACTGCTTAAAGCTCACAGGATCCAGGGGAACCGTTGGGCCTCTATAGCCCGTCTGTTCCCGGGGAGGACCGATAACGCCGTCAAGAACCATTTCCACGTCATCATGGCTAGACGCAAACGTGAAAGCTTCTCTTCCACGGCCACTTCTACGTTCAACCAAAGTTGGCATAGCATTTTGAGCCCTAGTTCTAGTCTTACAAGGCTTAATAGGTCCCATTTTGGTCTATGGAGGTATCAAAAGGACAAGAGTCTCGGTCTCTGGCCTTACACTTTTGTTTCAGCACCTAGAGATGATCAATTTGGATCTTCATCGAACTCGATTGTACACCAAGAAATGTATCTTGAGAGGAGACAATCGAAGGAGTTGGCGAATCATCATAATTACGCATTTCACGCAGCTACACCAGATCATAAGAAGAACTCAGGTGAAGATGGACCATCCATGGGAAATGATGGTGGGAAGAAAAATGTTACTTTCATCGATTTTCTTGGAGTTGGATTAGTCTCTTAGGTTATACTATCACAACACAACGATTTAAAGGGTATCTATCATTAGGGTTAGGTATCCTTTTCAGCTTTTTTTTTTTTGCTTCCTTAAACTCTCATATGGATCTTCTATCAATTACAACTCTCGTTTTCCATCCACTAAAGTCTATTTATCATATATGTAGGTGTCTATTCATATGTATGTGTATCGCATTTCAGTTAAATTGGTACACACGCATACATATATGTGTCCCGGATTGTTAGTATAATGCATGGTTTGCCTTTGATACAGATTCATGTAACAAATCTGTATACATATATCTAATACATATTAATAATTTTATAGGGCGTATTCTATAATACGCAGGGAGATGTAACTGTATATATACATAATTGGGTACTAATAACCAAATTGATGTATTGGAATTTATGATATTTTTAATGCGTTAGTTACATTAGAGTCACTGCACACACACATTTGCATGGTATTAGGGAAATGATAAATCGTTTTCTCCTTGCGAACTTTACGGACGTGCTCAAAACCAAAATTTTATATATTCATTCATTATTTCGCTGCGGTCATCTGGTTTTTTCGACTGAAACAATATATATAATCTGCATAGCATTAAATTATGTAAGTTATTTATCATGAGTGAGACATCTTTAAAGCTAAAATTTTACTAGCAATCACACGGTTAGAGCTTGTTCCTAGTGCAACTTCAGATGGGCTGGGCTTTGAGGGCATGGCCTTCTTCCTCAAGATATATAATCCAACTCGTAAATCGCATTACACAAATCGGCGGCAAGAGGGTTTAATATATCCATTCGAAGATAAACTAGTCTGTATACGAACGTTATGTAGAAAAATCTAATACAATGACGAAGGACGACGCTTTCACGTACCTAAACGCAATAATTTTTGTAGTGGGTGAAATACAAACGGCGTGGAAGACAATGACTGCAAAAAATGAATATTATTGAATAATTCAAATTATGTTTTGTTACACAAAGGTATATATATATATATATATATATATATCAAAAGAATCAAAATTCACAACCAAGAACAAAAAAATGTGAAAAAGGAAAACCAATATGACATCCTTTCAAGTGATCACCATGAATTTTGACGCCCAAAAAAAACTTGCTCAAACTCATGGCCTCCTCTATGCTCTATCGTCACATGAATATCCTCGGAAAGCAACCATTTACAGCAACTCTGGCACATGTCAGAGGGATGTGGAACCTCAAAAGAAGGAACCCTTCCTCTGCAACAACTCTGGACATGTCAGAGGGAAAACGTCACTCGCATACCCAGAGACATCTTTGCATTTCCATTTCTCCGACTGAGGTAAACCAAGAAGCGTAACATTCCTCAAACATATGTCTCGAAACGATGCGCCTTCAACACCAAGCAACATCGGGGCCTTCCTCGAATTCAGACTTACTACATTGCTTATATAAATACCTTCTACTCTCGGTACAGCTTTCGGATCCCATTTATCGTCCGGGTGATCGTTCGAGCCTCTGCTGAATCTAATTGGAACTTTCACCTTCTCCAACAGCACATTGTTAATGGTGATGTTCGATATGTAACCGCCTCTCCCTTTATCTGTTTTTATGCGGAGCCCAGCTGCGGAATCCCAGACGTGAATGTCTTCGACTGTTATGTTGAAAATCCCACCAGACATCTCACTGCCTATTCCAATTCCCGAACAAGTGCGAGTAGTTCCAGAGATCCGTCTGATGATGATGTTCGAACTCGGACGTGCCATAGCCATTCCGTACTGGTCCCACCCGCTCTTCACAGCTACAAGGTCATCGCCGCTTTCGATGTAACAGTCCTCTATGCATACATTGGTGCTTGAGTCTACAATGTTTATTCAGAGAAAATAAGATTAAGTACCTAACTATATAATATGGTGACTACAGAGAAGAAGACACAAGCACATGCAATATCTAACAAGCACTATATGGAGGTTAGAATAGAGAAGTTACCTGGGTCTATACCATCGGTGTTAGGGGCATTCATCGGAGCAAGGATGGTCATATTTCTAATAACAACATTGCTGCAAATTAAACAAAGTCGCAGAGGTTATTGAACGATGCACGCTTGTGGCATAACAAGGTAGCAAAAAAGGTAGTTGGAATTGTAATTAAGAACCTGCAGTAAACAGGATGGATTGTCCAGAAAGGAGAGTTGAGCAAAGTGAGGTTAGAGATTAGGATGTTGTGAGAGTTCTTGATTTCAATAAGGTGGCCTCTCGTATGCACCAATGTTCTGTTCCACCATAACTCCCACCACATTTTCCCCTGTCCATCGATTGTACCATTTTCTCCTGTAAATTTTCAGTTTTTTTTATAATCTAGATGTGACTATTTTAGCATTAGAGAATCAAAGTACAGACACAATGAACCAAGGAGAAAAACAAACTGAAAAGACAAGAGCTAATTCTACAAAACTTGAAACTCTGTAAAACCATTAAAACCCAAGACCAAGTCAACCAAAACTGTTTCTCCTTATAGCTATAGATCAACTGAGCCGGCTAAAGTAGAGCCTATGGCCCTGGTTGTTTCAAACGCAGCGGGATTTACTTGTGAAGTATTAATTTTCAGTTAAACACAACGACTTCAAATTCATGTCAAGGAATGAGAAACATTAAAGTAAAAAAGAGAGCAAAGTACCTGTAATGATAACATTAGTGAGATTGTCTCCATGAATGAGGCTAATGTGTCTACCACCAGGTCTCTCTCTCCCTCTTCCATAAGAAGGTAGTGGCTCTATTACCGGCCATTCGTCTGGGTCCTATCAAACCATGATCCCAGACAAAGATATCGATATTGTAACCGTGATCAGTTCATGTGAACAATAAAGAAAGTAATAAAAAAGATTTATATTACTACAGCTGACTTTTGAGTTCATGTGCTAAAACGCTAGCAGACAAACTCAAATCAATATCAAAAACCAAAAACCCTTGGTATCATGGCACATGACATCAAATTCAAGAATGATTTAATATAAACAAGTAATCTGATAGATCTAACTCGTACATCAACATGCTTCAGACAAAAGTTGTCTAGTCATCTCGAACTCTTCTAAGAATCTTATTATATAAAAAAATGGATTCTTTCACTTCTTCCCAGACTCTATTTACAGCTACTATTGACATCAAAAGCACATTTACCAACTAAACCTTAAACTGATTAGTGTTAAGTTAATACATAATTCATTCTTGATTAAAAGCAAATCAAGATTTTCCACTCTGAGACTATCCCACTCAAGAACAGCTTTCCTGTTTCAAACACCGGTGGGTCCATAAGGGACTTTCCACTAGTGACCGTGATTACCGTAAACTACAGTGTTTACCAACCAAACTTTACGAACCCACAAATCAAAAGGCAAACATAAACACAAACCCAATTCTGGATTCTCACAGAGCAATCATCAAATGCCCAACACACATTAACTGCCAATTACTATTGAGAACCAGACCAAACAAAAAAAAAACAGAGACTTTTTTAGAAATGGAGACATATAAAGAGAATTTTTAAGGAGTTGTAGAATCGAATTAGCTTTTGTTTGGGCTCTTACCTTGGATCCCAAAATCACAGCGCCGCGTTCGAGAAAGAGCGTGAAATTGCTGGTGAGGTTGAAGCTCCCGGAGAGCCACGTGCCCTTGGGGACATTAAGCTGGGCCCCACCCTCGGCCGCAAAACTTCGAAGGTGCCGTACGGCGCTGCGGAAAGCCGCCGTGTTCGACGTCTTGCCGTCTCCGACTCCGCCGAAATCGGCAATGGACATGACGATCCGCTTCGGGGACGGGTCGTGGAGGAAAAACCCGGAGCAGGTAATCGGGTCATGCTGTTGAAGGGTCGAAGGGATCCAGAGAGGGAGAAAGGAATTGGAAGAGATTTGGTGAGAGAGAATCGCCAAGACGGTGAAAACAAGGAGAAGGAATGCCCACGAAGGTCTCTTCATGGAACTCAGAGCTGTGGGCTTCTCCGATTCCATCGTTATTGGTTTTTTTTAATGAAAAAATTGATTTTTTAGAGAAAACTCAAAAGCCTCATGATGAAGCTCAGATAATTACGAACAGAAGAAGACTGAAATGGAACTTTTTGATGGCTCTCGAGAGAAAGAAGAAGAGAAGATTGCATGTGTGCGCAATGATTACCGTGGTGACAGACAACAAACGAATGTGAGAAGAAAGAGATACCTTACCTCTAAAAAATTCGACACTCTTTTTACTTTTATTTGTTCTTCTCTCTGGAAATAGAAAATAGTATGTAGTAAAAAGGAATTGTATACAGACACAAATATTTCGTGAAAAAGGGCACTATGGATGGTGCATGTGAAGTTCCCAAAGCCAAAGGTGAAAGGAGAAAGTGCAAATCTTTTAAATATAAATAATTTTTTTTATGTAATAAGAAATCACGGGTACGATTTGGCGTTACATCTCATTATATATGGGCCTTTAAATAGTCCACTGTAGTGACTGCCTCTTGTTTTTTTATGACAAAACTAGGTACATATGTCCGTAATGAATTATTTGATTTTTTTTTTCTTCTACGTTTCCTATCTGTTAAAGACGAATATGATGAATTGATAAAATTGTATGCTAGAAACTAAATTATATTTGTATTCTCTACATCTGTCAAGAAAGATATTTTATTTTCTCCCAATCATATCTTCGCACATCCTACTTTTTTTGATCCAGTTCTTAAAAAAATATTAATTTCTTATCTAATTTTTGTCTTCACATATCATTTTCTTGTTTTTATTTTCAGATATTTTTATTCTTTGTTGTATATGGTTTGAGTTATCTTACAATTCAAACCTACTAATCAAAGGTTTTTAAATTCATTTTTGTCACGAGAATCCAAATAACTGGACTGGTTTTATACAGCCCACAAAGCAATAAGAGCCTGTGTAAACTTAGCTGGGCCGATTTGGACTCATCCTTTTCAAAGAGAAAGTTAATTAAAGATTAAGATGATAAACAAAAACAAAAAGGATTATGATGATTGATGATAATGAATTGATGATGATGGTATCACCGTTCACCATCATGCTTTCATCATATGATACGAACATAACCAACATCATTCCAAATGAAGTCGTGCGCGTTTGACTTTGACCAGCTAATAGCTTGAAATGCTCCACGTCATCATCTCTTTGTCGTTTTCTCAATTTACTTTTGCATTAATGTCATTTTATTAATTTCACTGTACAAACTCAAGCAAAGTAAAAAATTCTTGGGCTTCTTCTCTTTCTAATAATCTTTTTATTCATTCGTCTTCCTCCTATTTCTTCTTTCTCCTCTCTGTTTCCACCCTTTTGTTTTTAATATTTTCGAGGAAATATATTATCATCTTCCTCTTTTGTTTCCTCAAATCTCAATTCTCCGGTTTCCCTCGGAGAAAAAGGAGTCAACGGTCAGCGATCTCGGCGTTTGAAATCGGAAATATAGCTTCGTTTTTTGTTTTGATTTCCTCGATAATCGATTTGGGGGTTTTCTTCTTCAAATTAAGTCAACGGCTGAATACGCGTTGAGGGCTTTTCTCTTACTTTGCTTTTAATTTCTTTTATCTTTGTTTTATCTTTTTTTTTCTCTTTCTTTTGGGGTTTCCTTCCTTGTGTGGTAGTAGCTTAATCGAGGATTCGAGATCCTTTAGTTGGTGGGTCAAAATCATGGTGGATCTTTCTCTCATGTTTATTGACGAAGGAGGATTCTAGGGCTCGTTTTTAATCTAGCAAGTTGGAACAAAAATGGAACGACGATTGATCCCTGGCTTCTTTTGGCTGATTCTGGTGTTCGATTTGGTTCTCAGAACAGCGGGCAACGCCGAAGGTATAACTCTTGCCTCGTTGTCTAGTAATTGCCATTATACCCAATTCAAAGTTGACTCGAAAAGTCGTAGTTTAGCTCCTGATAACTCTTGTATAATTGGTTTTCCATTACTGAATCCTTTCTTCTCGCCTAAAGAAGTCACTTTTAACTTAATTTTGTTGCTTGTTCTGCTGCGTTGACTTGAGTTATGCTGTGTGAATTGTTCATCTTTCTCCAAATTTGAATTGCGAGGTTTGACAGTAGTTTGACTCTTCTTTGGTTAACCGCAGGTGATGCTCTGAGTGCACTGAAAAACAGCTTAGCTGACCCTAACAAGGTGCTTCAAAGTTGGGATGCTACTCTCGTTACTCCCTGTACATGGTTTCATGTTACTTGCAATAGTGAGAATAGTGTTACACGTGTGTAAGTTTCTTTCTTTCTCTGGCCAAGATGATTCATTTTTTTTTCACATCTACTAAGAGTTTCCTGTTCTTCATGCTTGCTCAGTGACCTTGGGAATGCCAATCTATCTGGCCAGCTTGTAATACAACTTGGTCAGCTTCCAAACTTGCAGTACTTGTAAGTCATCTTCTTAAAGAGGACGTATTTAAGGGATACTTTAGTAACTGATGCAAATATGAGAGTTTATTTGCTATATATTGGTGATACTTCGAAGTAATTGGTGATATATTGGTAGAGTACTTTTAAAGATTTATAACTTTCCGATCTTTTGTAGAAATTAATATGAAGAAAGTGTAATAACAGGGAGCTTTATAGCAATAACATTACTGGGACAATCCCAGAGCAGCTTGGAAATTTGACGGAACTTGTGAGCTTGGATCTTTACTTGAACAATTTAAGCGGTCCCATCCCATCAACTCTCGGCCGACTAAAGAAACTCCGTTTCTTGTAAGAACCCATATTTAAGCCTTTTATTTTAATACGTTCTTAATAAGCAGCCTACTTATTGTCTTCAGTTTCCTTGGTAGTGTTTGTCTTTCTTAAAAAGCCTTTCCTACAACGTGTTTTGCAAATAGAGGCACCCTTGTAAGAATCATATAGTAGTGTGGCCAAATAGATGCTAAGTTATTTTACTAAATGAAAAGGTCTTCTCTAGGAGACTAGGATTTTGTATATGGTAAAAGAAATCAGAACTTCATTGTTACAGATGATCCTTGTGTTCACTTAGTTCCACTGAAGCAGCACGATGATCTGAATTCAGAGTGACTGTCTGTTTGATTGTACTCGCCTGTCACCTTTGTTATCTTCAAGGGAAAATTATTGACTTGCTTCATTAGTATGATATCAGTCTTTTCAGGAAGGACGAAGTTCTATTAGAGAAAACAATATTATTCTACCTTAGGCTTTCCGTACTAATTCATTTTGGTGCTGATTTATTTGTAAGTACACTGTACATCTAGAGAGTGACGCATCTGAAGTATTAAGAGGCTTATTAGGAATATATAGTTCAATGTATTTAATCAGCTACATATTTGTTTGATGAGATTTGAGAACAACCCCTATTTTTGAAATGTTCTTAAAAGTTTGATTGTATTATTTGCTCCACTTTCGTCTTAATTTCTATCCGCTTATTCATGTCATGGTCTTTTGCTATTGGTGGTTAGGCGTCTTAATAACAATAGCTTAGCTGGAGAAATTCCAAGGTCTTTGACTGCTGTCTCGACGCTGCAAGTTTTGTGAGTGTAACTTTGTCTCTCTCAGATTCCTTTGAATGTTTCTGATTATTTTTTGGCTAGACTTTGGCATTAAGTCAGAAAATGATATCATCTTGAAATGCAGGGATCTCTCAAACAATCGTCTCAGTGGAGATATTCCTGTTAATGGTTCCTTTTCACTTTTCACACCTATCAGGTTTTGTTTCTTGCTCCTATTTTGAATCTGTGGACAGGTTAGAATGATTGATTAATTATTTGAAAGTTATCTGCAGTTTTGCCAACACCAATTTGAATCCTCTTCCTGCATCTCCGCCGCCTCCCATCTCTCCTACACCACCATCACCTGCAGGTTTTTCGTTTTGTCTATGTCATTGTATCTTATAGGTGTTTTTATCGCTTTTTCCACAACCGTATATAGATTATATATAGCATCGCTAATTTGAATGGGAGAAAAGAATTAATAGTCAATGGCCAATGATGAATGACGAAACCCATTTGATTCGAGTGTTTTTCTCTCCCTATCCTATTAATAAGTCGAAATCGTTTTATCTGAGTAGTCAATAGATGGTATACACTCGGTTATTCTACTGTCTATCAATCTAGTGATTTAAAATGCTGTTAGTTTCGTAAAAAGTTCCCCTCAAAAGGTATTCAACTTATTATGAAAAATATGGAAACCTGATCTGTTGTGTATTAAGAAAGAAGTTGTTCATATCATACTTGCAGGGAGTAACAGAATTACTGGAGCAATTGCGGGAGGAGTTGCAGCAGGTGCTGCACTTCTATTTGCTGTTCCAGCCATTGCACTTGCTTGGTGGCGAAGGAAAAAACCACAGGACCACTTCTTTGATGTCCCAGGTTAGCGAATCTTGCTTTGCCTGTTTTCTCGCTGACACCTCTCTGGCTGAATGTTTGTTTTACTACTGTCTTTTTGCAGCTGAAGAGGACCCAGAGGTTCATCTAGGACAACTCAAGAGGTTTTCATTACGTGAACTACAAGTTGCCTCGGATAATTTTAGCAACAAGAACATATTGGGTAGAGGTGGTTTTGGTAAAGTTTATAAAGGAAGGTTAGCTGATGGTTCTTTAGTGGCGGTTAAAAGACTGAAAGAGGAGCGCACCCAAGGTGGCGAACTGCAGTTCCAGACCGAGGTTGAGATGATCAGTATGGCGGTTCATAGGAACTTGCTTCGGCTTCGTGGATTTTGCATGACTCCAACAGAAAGATTGCTTGTTTATCCCTACATGGCTAATGGGAGTGTTGCCTCCTGTTTAAGAGGTATCTCTCATCTTTTGGTTTATTCCTTGGCCTCCCAATTGCTGCATTATTCAAATAGTTGCCTGTTTACATATCCATCCTTACAATGCTCTATATCTTCTTGGTTGGTCTTACAAAGTTTCGTCTGCCTTCTAGTTGGTGGGTCAACATTTGAAAGCCATTTAACTATAAGAAAAAAAATGATGTACAGTCTTTTCACCAGTTTTTCTTCAACTTTCGATTCTTGCAAATATTTTAAGTTTATATTATATGCAGAGTGAGTTAATGTAGGATACATAGCTCTGCTAAGTCGACTAACAAGGAAATCCGATTTTCATTTAAGTGTTGATCTGTAAGTAATTTTATATTTTATCTTCTCCTTAGAACGTCCGGAGTCTCAGCCACCACTTGATTGGCCAAAGAGACAGCGTATTGCGTTGGGATCGGCAAGGGGGCTTGCATATTTACATGATCATTGCGATCCAAAGATCATTCATCGAGATGTGAAAGCTGCAAATATTTTGTTGGACGAAGAGTTTGAGGCCGTGGTTGGGGATTTTGGGCTGGCAAAACTCATGGACTACAAAGACACACATGTGACAACCGCAGTGCGTGGTACAATTGGTCATATAGCCCCTGAGTACCTATCTACAGGAAAATCATCAGAGAAAACTGATGTCTTTGGTTATGGAGTCATGCTTCTTGAGCTCATTACTGGACAAAGGGCTTTTGATCTTGCTCGCCTTGCGAATGATGATGATGTCATGTTGCTAGACTGGGTATGTTTATGCGTTTCCCACTTGTAATAGTTCATGACCTGTGCTGCTTCTATTTGTGTTAATTATGGGTGTTTGTTTGGTATCATTCAACAGGTGAAAGGGTTGTTGAAAGAGAAGAAGCTGGAAGCACTAGTAGATGTCGATCTTCAGGGTAATTACATAGACGACGAAGTGGAGCAGCTAATCCAAGTGGCTCTGCTCTGCACTCAGAGCTCACCGATGGAAAGACCCAAAATGTCTGAAGTTGTAAGAATGCTTGAAGGAGATGGTTTAGCTGAGAGATGGGAAGAGTGGCAAAAGGAGGAAATGTTCAGGCAAGATTTCAACTACCAAAATTATAATCAACCAAACACTAGCTGGCTCATCGGCGATTCCACTTCCCACATCGAAAATGAATACCCCTCGGGTCCAAGATAAGACTCGTAACACGATTGCTTTCTCAGTCTTTTTTATTTTATTTTGTTTTTTCCTGTATTTATTGAGAATTGTAGTTTATGCTGCTCGAAATTGTTGGTTCTTAAGTGAATACATGAGGATCAGATTGGGTTTGTAAGGTTTTTATATGAAAAAAATGGATATGAATGTTGTTGAAAAGCTAAAACCAAAACATGACTTCTATTGTTGTGCCTCTTCTTGATTCACATTTATAAATTACAAGACTATAATGGGCCGAATAATCGGCTACATAATGGGCCGCAAACCTTATTCAACATTGTTTATTTCCAATTGCTTTTGATATAAAAGCTGATAAACCAAATAAGTAAAATACAAGCCCATCAAGTGTTTACATATAGAAACTAGTACAATATAGACAAAGGTCACACAGTTTGATAGATATCTGAAATCCCCAAACGATAAGTATACAAACTACTGAACTTACATATTACGATAAGTACACCAATTTTTTACATGGCAGCACAAGAGATTCATCATGCTACGTATGATAGAGTAAAGATATAATTAAAGGCGGGAGCATTAATACAAAAATCATAAATACATTTGGTCTCATATGCTTAGTTAAGAATCCGACAATTTTGACGGACTTCACCTTGAGATCCAAGTTTGACATCAAGAATGCTCATTTTGCGCATGGCCTGTTGGAAATCAAAGAAAAACTTAGCTTGGTTAAAGGCATAGCCATTAACAAGATTCCTGGTCCTTGGAGTGTTGAATAAGGTTTGGTCTGAGAAGAGGACTCCTGATTTCCTCTGGAGCGCATTGAAGTAAGCATTGTCGAAACTGTTGCGCGTGGCATCAAATGGTTGCTCTGCATTGTCACCGGCGCTGCATGTTTTAGAGAGAGTGCTTGCGAAAGAAGAGTCTATTGAAGAATCTGGTGTGGTAAGTCTAGCCTTGAAGGAGGAGCATCGTGCAACTCCAAGGGTATGTGCTCCTAAATATACATACACGTACAGATTAAGTTATAAAACAGAAACATATATGGATGTCCAAATTCCAAGTCATATTTACATTTTCGATTTGGTAGTAATCGAAATTAATAAAATGGTATTACCAAAGAGAAAGTCACGAGAGAGAAACATGAATACATTTTTCTACCAAAACTACTTTTTGGCTTAAGATTCTATAAAGTTGTTGACAAGAAAAAAAACTACTTTTATGGCTCTAAAAAAAACTTACCGGAGAGAGCAACAACATCCTGTGGAGTGAAGCCACGTTGGCCAAAAGTTTGAATGAGTTCAGAGGCATTAAGAAATGGCGAAGGAAGATTTCTTGTATCTTCTATCTTCGATCTTTTACCATCAAATCTTCCTTTTGGTATGTCATAATATGGACCACCAGCCTAATTAACAAGGCAATTACTAATACAGCATCATTAATTCTAATATATATTGATTGATCAATCTTTACCGGCTTACCCAAAAGACAGCATCTCTAGCAGCCATGGCAATAATATCAGCGCAAGATACAACTCCTGGACATCGATTCTCGATCTTATCTTTGGCATCATCTATGATTTCGTAGCCACGTAGGCTCAGGTTCGCAGGCGAATCCTTTTCCGCAGTGTTGTCTTTTGTTGAATCTAGCAGAATCGACGCGTCACATCCCTTAATAAGACAAAAAGAGAAAGAAAGAAACAAGCTAGTTTTTCAAAACTAATTTTTTACTACGTAAAGAAAACACAATTAGAATGGAACTTAATTAAGAGAATTAACGTTACCTCGATGAAACAGTCGTGGAACAGCATACGGATAAGACCTGCGGCTAAAGTGGGATCTGCTTGAAGAGCATTGTTAACACTGTTCTTCACAATCTGTTCTGCGAAAGGACAGCTCATCATGTAGTAACCCATACTTAATCCCCTTACATTATAAGGAAGCCCAACAATTGCGTGCATCAACATGATCACGCTCAATAAATTTCTCCTAATAACCATCTTATTATTTCCTGCCACCATGATATATATTCAGTGTCTAATTAAGCTTTTTTGTTGTTGTTGTAATATGATTTTCAGTTTATAAGCTTCACTTTGTGCATCGCTTATCACTTATATATATAGTATGGACTCGCAGTTAGACAGGCTTCATATTGGAGTGGTTGGAACATGTAATCAATCTCAGATTTTATAATTGTTAATTGGTTGGTTGGTCCCATAATGTGTTGGAAGCAGACTCAAGAGTGGGATATAGTGGTCTATTGTGCATTCCCGTTTACCCTTGGCATTGTGAAATTTATTTAACTTATTTTATTTTTAATGGCTGACCTAATTTGCATGTTATTGCATGAAAAGTGGCACGTTGTGTTGACACATAAGACCATTTGTTTCCTTTGCCAAAACTCGAATTCGCTTTGTCCACAAAATAAGTTATTAATTAATACTAAAATACCTCACGCTTACTTGCTGACCAGGTTTTTTATTAACAACGAAAACTTGCATTTCTTAAATATGATTAATTAATGTGTGTATTCACTACAAATCAGAGAGTAAATTTGTAACTAATAAAAGAAAAGAAAAAAAGCTTAACCAACATGATTAGAATTTTCTTTGCCAAAATAACTAAATAAAACGTGGTGATTTGAGAAGGCTCAAACCCAGATAGAAGAGCCAAATAAACATTATATCCCTAATTAACTTCTTCTGCTTTCTTTAAATTAGGATTTCATCAATAGTTTTGAACATGAAACTCTAGTTCTGGTTGTGCAGGTTGATTTCCCGTTCTTAGTCGGAGGAATATATCCTCGTCTGAACACAAAACTATGGAATAATGAATCTAGACTACTGTCGATTTTGTGGAAACGTGGATGATTCTCTCACGGGATCGAGATAGACGATAATGGATCTAATATAGAACTTGACGATAATGGATCCAATCTAGAACTTGTTTTTTGAAATGTAACAAACTTTTGACTATATATATATATATATATATATCAGTGCTATTTGCTGAACATAAGGTGATTAGCGACTAGTAATTATAATATATGCAAAACATAGATGCATGCATGTATAACTTAAGAGAAATCAAAGAAATAAAAGTCAAACGACAAAGCGAGACATGTAGCTGGCTTCCATTAGCTAGCAACATCGATAGAAATGGACAAGAGAGTTTGGTATTTTTAATGTAATCGCATGTCAAATTTCACTTTTATAACTTGAGTGCTTTCGACGCGGAATTTCTCTAGTGCTACATTGTTCCACTTCCTTTATCCGGTGAGGACAAGAACAGCATCCGATAATTGTTTTTATTCTTTTTGTTAAATCTGCAAAAATGTTATTGACGTAATAATAATATATACACTTCTATAGATCAGCTTGGTCGGCTTCGGAAATGTATACTTTTATGACAAATTTTCTCAATTGTTTATCCTTGGCTTTGGCCATTGTGTCTCCTCAACCTCAAGTAGTGTGTATGTAGGATGACTAGGACACTAATGGTACGAAGTTTGAAAAACAGTGCTTAATTTCCAAATGTTAGGATAATGTATAAATTTTTGAGTTATATATATATATTTATCCTAACATTAGACAAAAGTCATCAAGTCCTCTCTCTCTAAAAGGAAGGGAATAAATTTAAATGTATATTATCCTTCCTTGAATATTTTGGTTGTATGCAATAAAATGAGATTTAATACTTACTGCCAAAGACAGACATCTCTCTTTGGTGACCATTTCCTACTAAACGTCCTTGTGTTTTAGTTTTGATGTTTCTGAGCTATTTTGATTGATATAAATAAACTCAGATCTCAATTTCATGAGACTTCTCAATGGGATTGGATAACGCTGGTCCTTCCCACAGCTCCGCAAGATCCTTTCTCCGCCATGACATGAAGATCACAGGTCCTAACGTAGATGGTACCTACGCATCCAATTGAACATCAATATCTCAATATACTACTTCACACTTATCGAGCTAAGCTCATGAACACATACAGATATGACATCTTTTTGCGATAAACAAAACATTGGATTGAAACTGGAGAAGTTTTAACAAGTACCAGATAAAGTAGAGCTGGCTGAGGTGAGTGGGTCAAGACACCTGCAGCAAGAGCCGAGACCAAGCCAATGGCGTACCCTGGAAGTGCATACCATATGTATTTATGTCCCTTGGAAGATTTTAGATCAAATAGATTCACCACATCTCTAGTTTTCCGATGGTCAAAGCAGAGCACCAAAGCCAAAAGCATCGCAGGAATAGCCTGGAACAAACTAAACAGTTAAAAATCTGACAGATAACAACACTTCCTACAGTTAGTGAAGATGAGAAGAAACCAAACTTAAAATACAATAATAAAGGGTTTTTATAATCTTTACCATGTCACCAAGACCAAGCATCATGAAATCTGAGGCACTCACACCGGGCACAACACCGCCTAGTAAGTTCCTTGGAAACACTATTTTCACAGGCAGCTCCAGCTTCTTTGTGATCAACTGCAGTCCAGGAAGATTCAAACTGTTGGCTACTGTATGAACCGGGTTCGACGCTTGCTGTGTAGCCACGGCCACCATAACGTTAGCGCCAAAGAATCTCTCAGAGAAGAAAACCCAGAATATGTCATAGACAAAGAGACACACGAGGAGCATAGCGCATATCTTGATATTAGGAAGACGAACATGGCTGACGAACGCAATACAAATGGAGATCCCAAGCAAATTGTTCAGCACCCAATGCCCAGAGACGAGCCACGCCACGACTGTCATTGCACAGGCCACAAGCAGCAGCCCTTGCATCCTTGTAAAAGATTTCGAGCAGCAGCGTGAAAGAAAGGGATCAGAGAGACCGAGCCGCGACTTGACGTACATCGCATGAGGCGATAGCCAAAAGAAGAGAGAAGAAACAGAGGCGATGGCTGTAAACGCGGTGAGGAGCTGAGAGACGGAGGAGAACAAGTAGAACATGAGAAGCAGACTGCAGGAGCTCATGACTGGGATCATCAAGGCCTGAGAGGTGTCAAGTGTAATGGATGCTTCGGAGAAGTCACGGTTTCTCTCCATCTCTTTGCCATAGTTAAGCGCACGGAAAGCAGACGCAAATGTCACAGTGACAGCTGTCACGATGAGAGTAGCTGGTGCGGGTTCAAGCAGATACAAGAGAGTCCATAGAGTCTCCATGAATATTACAAAAGAGTTCCTTTCAGAGTCCCCAAAGCCTCGTACTTTGCGACTTGAACCTGCTAAAGATAAATTCACAACGACACACTCATGTAAGCCACCCAAAAACAAATAAAGGTTTGATTTTTATGAGCTTTGCAGAACAAGTGTGATCACTATGTAATGATGATTCACTAAATCACAAGACCTGAAATTTCTAGCCAAATATATAAACAAAGATCGACATTGAGGAGTTCCCGTAATTCGATATATTATCAGGAATGAATAAGTTTTATACTTCGAAATCAGGCAATAAGCTCAGGAGTAGAAACGCAGATTGCAGAAATCAATCGCAAGGCGAAATCATATTGAGAGGGGAAAGACGAGAATGAGAAGCGGAGACACTCACCTGAGAAACCCTAAACCACGATGGTCCCTTGCAAAGAGCTTCAATGGAGGGAATTGGGATCTAGGTTTTGAGACGCGTGGGAGAGAGGATGGATCGGATCCTCTGTGTCCCAAAGCAGTCTATCGAGTAAAGGACGAATAATTATTTTGGTTGATTAAATGTGTATTAGCTAACGTATTATTACGGTTTTAAGTTTTAACAAAGAAGATAACGTTTATGATTAATTGGCTTAAGACTTATTAGAGTAGGCTAATTATTTCACTATATAGGACTATAGGTTATAGAAAATCTCAGATTAAAACTTATAATAATGTCTACAAAATTTGCTTTTCTCTTTTTTAATCTATCGATTTTTTCTTATATTTAAAACATTATCAAAAAATGAGTCAAATACTAGTTGACAACAATAAATGGCCAATCGAGACCAGCAATTTTTTGAATTTGAATGATTCCAAATCGTTGAAAATAACAGTGTACAACCACAAAATCTAGTTTTAAACTGGCTGTAACCGGTAATTGAGATATTACCGCGGATCCGCTACAACTTTGTTTACTGGCTGAAGCCGGTTATCTCCACTCTGACTGAAAGGGCACAGACAGCGGCACATGCTTTTGAGAACCCTAATTTTCAAATTTTGAACTTGCGCTCTTCTCCTTCTTCCTCTGCTACATTTTCCCACCCTCATTTGAATCTCACTGCCGCTATTCCAGGTTTTCTTTAGGGTTCTTCGAGATGGGAGCAGCTCACAGTCAGGAAGATCTGGAGATCTGTGAATCAGACGAGGAAGAGTATGAGGAATACGAAGAAGGAAGAGAGGGAGAAGAAGAGGAAGACAAGTTCGAGGACTCGAGGGACGATACGTTACAGTCATCGTCTTCCGGTGGCCGTCGTCGCCGACCTAAATCTCCTTTACCACTGGACGACGTGGAGGCAAAGCTCAGTGCCCTAAAGCTGAAATACGCATCAACCCAGGCAGCTCCGACTCCGTCTACCCAGAACTCGACTCGGCTTTTCCGCTACATCAACGGGAACACTCCCAAAGCCAAATGGGTCACAGCTGAGAAGTTTTCCGCTTATTGCTTCGTTAAGACCTCCCAAGGAGACGAGGACGAAGAAGACGACGACGCGAATGGAGATTCGGAGAAGGAATGGTGGGTTTTGAAGGTCGGAAGCAAGATCCGAGAAAAGGTTTCGGATGAAATGCAATTGAAGGCCTATAAAGATCAACGCCGTGTTGATTTCGTCGCTAAAGGTGTCTGGGCCTTGAAATTCGGCAGCAGCGAGGATTTCACCGCTTTTGCAAGCAGCTACAACAGTTGCTTGTTTGAGAACAACCATGGGGTTGAGTTTAATGACGCCAGTAAGGCCAAAATCTTTGGGAAAGACTTCATCGGGTGGGCGAATCCTGAGGATGCTGATGACTCCATGTGGGAAGACGCTGATGATATTTTGCTGAAGAGCCCACAATCTGCTGCAACTCCGGCGAGAGATACACAGGATCTGACGGAGGCCTTCGAAGAGGCTACAAGTGAGGGCATACATAGCTTAGCTCTAGGCGCTTTAGATAACAGCTTTCTTGTGGGAGATTCTGGAATTCAGGTTTTCAAGAACATGAGGCAGGGGATTCAAGGGAAAGGTGTTTGCGTTAACTTTGAAGCTGGTTACAATCGGGCTCACTCAGCACCGAAAAAGGCTCTTCTCATGAGAGCTGAGACTAACATGCTGCTCATGAGTCCCATGAGCCAAACGCCTCACTCACGAGGAATCCACCAGCTCGACATTGAAACCGGGAAGGTGATTACGGAGTGGAAGTTCGAGAAAGATGGAGTGGATATCTCTATGAGTGACATTACTAACGATGGTAAAGGTGCTCAATTGGATCCGTCTGCGTCAACGTTTCTCGGCTTGGACAACAACAGGCTTTGCAGGTGGGATATGCGTGACCGATACGGGATGGTTCAGGATCTTGCTACCGCGAATGCCCCAGTCTTGAACTGGGCACAGGGGCATCAGTTTTCTAGAGGCACCAACTTCCAGTGCTTTGCGACCACTGGGGATGGCTCAATTGTTGTTGGTTCTCTTGATGGGAAGATTAGGCTCTACTCAAGCAACACTATGAGGCAGGCAAAGACGGCTTTCCCTGGACTCGGTGCACCTGTAACTCACGTGGATGCTACTTTCGATGGGAAATGGATTGTTGGTACAACTGACACTTACTTGATTGTTATATGTACCCTTTTCACCGACAAGGCCGGCAAAACAAAGACTGGCTTCGAGGGTCGCATGGGAAATAAGATTGCTGCACCAAGGTTGCTCAAGCTAAGACCCCTTGACGCCCATTTAGCTGGATCTAACAACAAGTTCCGCAATGCTCAGTTTTCATGGGTAAGCAAAACTCTAGTTTCTCTTTATACTCGTGCTGCCGAAGTGACATTCTTGCTCCAGATAAACCATTTCAATCATATCATGTTTTGCTTTATAGTGTTAGTGCCTATAGTATTTGAAGTCGTAAAGAATTTTCTGGAAGACAAACACATTGAATTATTGATGCCTGCATTTCTTTTTGCTCACAAAAGCCAGAGTTGTCTATGCGATTTCTTTCTTTTTTCACTTGAAAATTAGGTCCCTGCCTCTCTTTGATACCTTTCCTGTTGCTGGGGTGGTAACTTTATGCAGCTGTTTTCATCTCTTAGTTGAAGTACATTTCTCATAAATGTTCACTTTGTCCCACACTTCGAATGGTAGTTATAGTGTTCCTCAGTTGCCTGGAGATTTCTTCTCTTAATCCATCTAAAGGTTTTTTCTCTGTGATAATTTTTGGATATTTATAGGTCACGGAGGATGGGAAACAAGAGCGTCATGTGGTGGCAACAGTTGGGAAATTCAGTGTGATATGGAACTTTCAGCAAGTGAAGAATGGATCTCATGAATGCTACCATGAGCAGGAAGGGCTGAAGAAATGCTACTGCTACAAGATAGTCCTTCGAAATGAATCTATTGTGGACAGCCGCTTCATGAATGACAACTTTGCAATCTCCGGTTCACCTGAGGCGCCTTTAGTCATTGCAACTCCCATGAAAGTCAGCTCCTTCAGCTTATCCAGCAAGCGATGAAGCAAGCAAGTGATGGACCACTAGTTTTATGTAACTTGAATTCTAGTCTGTTTGTAACCATGTGAACTTCCAATGTTCTGGCTCTTCTTAGTACGCTGTTAGATTCTGAGAATTGACATCTAGAGATGTTGCTAAACTACTTTGGTGTGTGACTTTGACTTTTAAGTTGGTCATATCGTTGACAATTTGGTATTGGTTTTAGTTTTCACTTGAAAGAAGCTATTTTCATCGAGTTACTATCAAGAATGTTGCAGGTTTCTATAACTAAGAGGTCATAACTTACGTTTTGGAATCTTGTTCTTGAAGCACGAAGGGCACAAAGCCTTTTGAATCACTAAGTAATTAGTATTACTGAAACAGCATTAATCTTGTTGGGTTCATGTATTGTTTCAGACATGTTTAGTGATTGGTGTTTACTCAAAAACTGAGGCGGCTTAACTCTTCTTTTATAGTATAGATTTAAATTTATAGAATTTTACATAAATCAACTTTTTCACAACAAACTCACTTATGTGACTTCTTCTTCATTAAGAACATAAAAAATCTTGGGAATAATTTCTTCTTTTTCTTTCCAGGAGTTGCCTCTGGGATTGGGTTTGTTTCTGTTATGTATGACTCATTAGACTCCGCTTCTTTCTCTTTGGACCCTTCTATGTGAATTTTCTCTATGTTCACTCCAGTATCACCACCAGTCTTTCTCTTTTGTCCATGTTCCTCTCTCCATTTTCTCAGCTCTTGTTCTACACCTAACTTCCCTTCTTTAGCCTTGTCAGCCTTGTCGATTGCTTCTGTAAGTGTTTCCTTTCTCGCAACCATCTCACTGTTTACTTCTTCCAGCTTCTCCAAGCTCCTCTTCTCTGATTCTTTGGCTTTCTCGATCTCAGAAACCGCCGCTGCAACCCTTGCGTTGGCTTCTTCTTCGGCCTCATGAGCACGCTTGCTAAGCTCGTAGTACTCCTCTAATGTCAGCGTCACGCTTCTCGGAGAATCAACATTGCTTTCCTTCAAAGCAGATTCGCTCTCTTGCAAGGCCTTGATGGCAGCTAATGCCAACCTCTCCGAGGCTTTAGCAGCCTCAATTTCTTTCTGAGCTGCAAATAATCTGCTCTCCATTACACTTGCTCCAACCTTTGCTTGCTCTGCTTCTTCCTGAGACTTCCTCAGCTCTTCACGAGCAAGTTCAGCGAATGATTTCGCTTCATCAGCCTCTTGAGTCGCTTGCTGCAGCTGTTTAGGTAGCTCCACCATTTCCTCTCTAGTTTCTTTTTCCCTGGACACAACAAGAGCTATCTCGAACCTCGTCATGTCGATCTCAGCTTCTAGAGAAGCAACAGCTTTCGATGCCATCCCTTCTCTTTGTTTGATTAAGTCAAGTGATGATTTCTCATTCTCAAGTTCCAGTCTCAAGGAAGAGGAGGCTACCTTTAAAGATTTCACTTCAGATATTGCTTTCTCGATGTTCACATTCACTTCTTCGAGCTCCTTCTCTGCAGACGCAACAGCTGTTTGTATATCTGTATGGGATCTGTCCTGTAACGAGATCTCACTGTTTGCTACAGAGTCACCTGATTCCTCCTTCACCCTGGATGATTCCATATGATCTGCCAATTCTTTCTTCAAATCAAGAAGCAATTCTGAAGCAGCGTCAAGTTTCATTTTAAGTTCCTTTGTAGAAACTATGTTTTGCGTAAGTCTCTGGAGTTGTTCCTCTGCTTGCTTTAGTTCCTTCTCCCACCGGTGAGTCTCCTGATCACGCGACATGGCTGCTCCGATCTTATGTTCTTCTGCTTCCAAATGAGAAGAATGTGCACATTCCAGTGACTCCTTTGTAGCTATCAACTCTATGGTGAGTTCTTCAACTTTCCTCTCAACTTGTTTAGAAGCTGAAACTGCTTCTTCGGCTTCCTTCACAGCCAACTCATTCTCTTCTACCAAAGCATCATACTCCTTTTCCAGAGTCTGTAGCTCTTCCTTGACAGATTCCAGTTCAGAAATCGCAGATGTGTGTCTCGCTTGAGCAACTTCAAGCTGTGCTTTAGCTGCAACGCTAGCTTCATCAGCAATGCCTTGTTCCATCTCCTCGACTCTCAGCTTTGCGAGCTCTGAGTCCTGTTTCGCCTGTTTCTCCTCTGTTTCCGCCTTGTCAAGATTAAGCTTCAACTCTTCTATGAGTCTCTTTGTGCTCTCTAACTCCTCAACCGCTAGCATTTTTGACATCTCGACCGCCACTGATCTTTTCTTGTACTCAGGAATCTCCTCCTCCATCTTTTCGAGCTCTTGTTCCACAAACTTGCGTCGCTGCAAAAGAGAAAAGTGAGCATAGTTCTTGGCTAATACAAAGTCAAAGAAGTCAGAGCTATATAGTACCTCGAAGACTTGCATTCTATGTGCTTTCCAATCAGTGATTCCTCCAAATTTTGAGACAGCTTCTTTAACAGATTCAAAAGGTGATGCTGTGTCGATAGAGTCTCTGTAAGAATCTAGAGTTTTGGGTGTTCCATTGCTCAATGGTGATGATGATCCTCCAAATCTTGGGGATCCGAGGCTTCTTTGGGAAGAAAGATATCTTGGAGACACTCTGTTTCGTGTTGTGCTGCCCTCTGATCCATACTTAATAATCTTCACGCGAGGCAGAGCAATCTCAGGAACAAAAGTAGGAGTAGTAGTAGAAGAGGAAGAATCTTCTTGTGTTTCTTCTGCTTGAGTGTTTGATAAACTGGAGGGGAAAAAAGTGTCATCCAGATAGATTTTCCCATTTTCAGTTGAATCTTCTTCACCTATAGATTGCTGAATTGCTTCATTATTCTCTGGTTTTGATTCAGGTTGTTGCATCTCAGGCTCTGTTATAACTCCACTATCATTTGAGGTTACACTAGGTTCTTCTGGAAGAGGAGAAACTGCTTCTGGTAATGTCAAATCTTCCATTGGAGGGAGCTACGAAAGCAAAGCTTACAAGAGGAAGGCTAAAGCGAAGAAAAGAAAAATGAAGAAAGTAGAAGAGACTTTTCCGATTAAAGAAGTTTTTAGACAAGTCAAAGAGAGGTGCAGAATTCGAAAGTCTATAATTAGAGAAACAGAGATAATCCTGGAAGCAAATGTTTGATGAACCTCTCCTTTTCTCTTTTCCCTCGTAATCTCCGCTTTGTTCTTGGTAATTAGTTCCTTTTTTTTTTGTTCCATTCATTATTCAATTTAGAAATTTTAATGTGATGTTTCTATAACATACTATATGGCATTTGACCATAACTACCATAAATCAATATGTGCTGTTTAGTTTGTGTTGTATCAACCTGACTATGCTAATAACAGATGAACATACACTGTCAGAACCAGGAGACAAACATTTGATCGACACAAAGCGTGTAAGCTCATCGCACCCATCATCTTCTTGTTTCGTGATGATTGGTCTTTTATCATATTATTATATATCCACTGCAATGTTTAGACTATCTAGTCAAAGCCCTTAAATACAAAACAGACTTTGAGTAGACTATTCATTGTTAAAGTCTGTTAAATGTTCCTTTGTAAGCTTTACAAGTAATATACAATAGAACCAACTCCAATTTTGAGAACATCCCGTCAGAAACTCGTGGAAAAAGTGGCCATCAACACTTGGTCAAAAACGACAACGAGCACGAGATGATTAAACAAAAGTGTCCTCGCGATCTCCCTGGGCAAGGTCACCATCCTCCTCCATATTGCTGAACTCGAGGAAATGAGTGGGTCGATGGTCTTGGTGATAGAACTCCTTTGGGCTTCCGAGTTTCAGGCTGTAATTCATGCTCGTTGTGAGCTTCACTCCCATGAAGTTCAAGTTCCAGGGCCCGTCCTCGGGAACCTATATCATTCAACAACGTGAATGGGGTTATAATAAGAATATATATTGCCAAAAGTAGAAAGAATTTAAGGGGGAGGTCACTGTGTGTTCTCACCATGTAGAACCCAAGGAAGCGGTCACTTAAGAGCATTTGAACCTTCTCGTAGTGGGTGGGAAGGTAACCGTGGAGATAGCTGTCTGTATCCTTCCTCTGCCGTCCCCATTCATATCCGGCTTGCGTCAGCTTATATGACGTCAGAGAGCAGGAGCCCGGAGTGAAACTGCATGTCAAGATGATGCACTTTTCTCCGTCCCATTGCTTGTTGTTCTCCAGAATACGGGAGTGAGAGATCACATCCTATAGGAACCCAAAACCAAAATCAGCTTTCAAGTGTTAACAGGTTTTGTTACGCGGAAAGAAGGTATATGCATACCTGTGGTGACAACTGGGGAAGCTCGTTAGGCTGTGTGTGCATCCATCCCAGGGGCTCCATATCCTCCAAGAAACCATGCTCCGGAAGAGAAGACGGCAGGTGAACTTCCTGGTGACTTCCCGACTGCGGCACCATCACAACGCAACGGATTTCCTTCACTTGGGGATTATCCGGCGGACTTGTCCCATATAGATACCCAGCGATCTGAGTACGAAGATCCGCTACACATATGAACTTCTTCAAGATGTTCTTTGGCATAATGTAGGTGTACCCGGTTACCTGTGAGCAACATACAAATACGTTTTAGGGTCCAGCTTTACTTACTCACTTGGATAAGTGTGTGCGACGGCTTTAGACAAGACATCTTCTTTACCTTTATGTCATCTGAGTTCACGTAAATGTGATTGACCCTGAGGTAGAGGTTGCTAGCTGAAATTGCGCGTACACGCCAGTCTGTTTTGGAACAGAATGCAGCCTGTTCGTACGGACTAACGTTGGTGGTAATCAGCTCATCGCCATGAACATTTGTGGTTTTCACCGTGACTGCATTAAGCTGGCTCGCTTCCTTTGCCTGCGGCAGGAACAACAAGGGTCACTTACTTTTATTTCCCCTAAACCCCTCGAGAGAAGTAGCAGTTACACGTACCTGTTTCTCAATCTCAGCTATCTGTTGCCTCTGCTGAGACGGTGGAGTAATTTCAGCTCCAAGTATTATATCCCTGATCTCCGACTGTGTCAGAGCTGACGTATTCACGTTGTTCTTCTTCGCGTAGTCCGAAAGGATGAGATCTCTAAGAGCAACCTCCACCTGGATGAATGCAAAAATGACCCATTAGTTTCTAAAATCACGCGGTCTAAGACACGAAACACTGCTTGAAAGGTGGGACAAGAGATACCTTCATCCACTGGTCGTCAGTGAGAGAGGGCCAGATGTGATGCGGCTCAGTGACGACGGACTTGTCTGGCTTCAATAACATCTTCGCCTTCTCGTTGTTTACATGAAGAGCACGAAGGATGAGGATGAGTCTCGAAAAGGCCGTGTACGAAGAAATGCTCTTCAACCAATCATCATAGATATTGAAGAGGACCATCTGCGGCTCTGTGGCCTTCAGAATCAGATCACCAAATTTCTCTATCTTAAGGCAAGCCTGGAACGGAAGCTGCAGTTCGCTTCCCTTTATAACTATGTTTGGGAAATCCAGCAGGTGAACCTCAAGGGGATCCAGCATTCCTTTGCGAGTCACAACAACTTGTTTTGGCTGTTCTTCAACAGGGAGAGACCTCACGAGTGCAGCAACCTCTTCAGCAGTTTTCCATTTCGCTAGCTGACCAAGACGCTTTTGACCAGCCCAAACGCTTGTATGGATAACCTAGTTGGAAAAAAATGTCATTTCTCAATGTGTGCATCCTTATTCGAGAATCGAGAGTGGCGAGAGGGAAAAAACATACCTTCAGGAATAGCTGCCCTGTCCTTGGGTTGAAAATAAAAATCGCACCATTAATTGGTTTAGTCGTTAGATTTCCTTCAAATGTCTTGTGGATCGTGACACGGTAGACATTGGTATCATCAACAAACCATATGATCTGATTGCTGAATATCTCGCCATAGTTTTGAGATGACAAATATGGCTCTGTAGGCTCAGACGAGTACAACTGCAAACCTTTCCTTATCCTCTCTCGCAACACGTACAGAGCCGGGTTTGACTGTAACATTCAAAATCATAAAGCGATAAGAGTCACATATGTAAGCCAAACCAAAGTCCATGCAGAAGACACCAAATTCTATAGTACAGTACCTTCATGATCTTGTTCATTGCTTGAGCAAGCAGAGGTTTTGAACCAGGGAACCAATTACCAAAGGCCGAATGCAGGTTGTAGGCCAAATCAAGCCCAATCATCACACCTGCGAGGATTTCCCCAAAATATGAAAACCAGGATAAATAAGAAAAAAAAACGTTAACAAAGTGGAAAAATCAATTAAATACCCGTTGGAGATGGATAGATCGACATGTTGTCAGTTGTGTAATCCATGAATTTGGCTCTAGTATAGCGTTCAATGTCATGGGAGTCGTAATCTCCCCATCGGAGTTGCACATCTATCCAGTACTTGTTACTCGCTTTCTGATCAAACACATCCTTTGACTCTGCCACCAGACTAGGCTTGGACATTGGCCATTTATGGGCAGCAAATAGAAGAACGTCAGCACAAGAGCTATTCATCTTGTAACTCTTCCGTGGATGAATCGTCTCCTTCTGTACAGTTTCAATCTCCAAAGCGTCCAACTCTTGGTCCAGCACTTGGCACAGATCCATAACAACACTCTCGTGGATCTTTTGCCACAGATGGGCACGGAAAATCTGAATCAAAGATATCTTAAGAGTAGGAATCTTCCCGTGCATAAAAATTCCTGTCAGATCCAACTGCACTTGGAAACCCACATAAACATTCGCTCGATTGATTGTTGGCGACCACCAGAGCGTGAACCTTCTATTCGGAATCTGGTTTAGACCAGACCTCTGCGCATTTGTCAGCTTCTTGTATTTCATAGACTCCTCAAAACCGGATGCCTTCTCCCAAAAAAGACCTTCCCATGTCGGGAAGCTGAGTACATGTAAAACAAGAGAAATTAGCAATTCTGGTGCGATAGGCTAGCAGCAAAATCTGTGCGCAGCAGATACATCAAATGCCAACGCGAATCACACAGTTCATAATTAGTCGAGGATCAAGAAACGAGAAAAGCAGACTTACTATGTTCCCTTGAACAACGTGTGCTCAAGTATACCCTCAACACCTCCAAGAGCTTGGATGACATCCGTTCTGTAATTGTTCAAGTTCCACAGCTTCCCATCATGTCTCTGGTGCGTCCACCAGAAAGGATTTTGTTTCAGGACTTGGTACTGCTTGAAGTCCGTACGGACCCTCCAACCTTTATCATATGCTAACGTGTGCCTATCTTTCTGAAACAGCGTATTAATGCGCGGGATTCCTCTATCCCAGGAGTCCTGTCAAAAACATTTACATGTATTCATATTCTCTCAATCAATCATCGAAACTTCCCAATCAATACGCTACTTCTTAGACCTTCAGCACAGGGCAAGGCAACAAATACAGATATCCTCCCAAAACCCTATATGTCAAGTGAAGACAGACGGAAACACCCAAAAGAAAAAGAAAAAGAAGCTAATTCCAAGACAACACAAAGAGGATAAAGCTAGGACATTAAGTAAAGAGGCAAGTAAAATACTTACTTCCAGATCCTCCAGCGTGAGACGTCTATTCTGGGCCTGTGCTTCTTGCCTCTTTAAAGCATATTCTGCCCACACCCGCTGTGAATCAATGAACTCGCTTTCCCATGGCTGTATGTAACGGTAAAGATTAGGTATCAGCTGATCCTCCTCGTGGCTCATGCCACTCCTGAAGTGGGTTACACCAACATCTGTTTGCTTGCTGTGCCGAAGGTCACTTTGTGGGATCAAAATGTGACCCATAGACAACATCTCAAGCCCGCCAATTTCCTTTGGAGTGTAGAAGATAACAGGAGGAAATCTACAAAGGAAAAGATGAGCAATCAGGTTATTGAAGCATAAACACACAGCACTGATATGTCGACCACATTAAAAATAAAACAGCATTTGCTCACCGACTAGGCATCTTAGAATTCAACCCAATCTTGATCCTTGTCTGGATTTTATTTTCACATTTAACCAGGAGATCCAAGAGCTCTTGCGTATGCACAGTGGCTTCCCGGAAGTAAGTCATGAGGCCTGTTACAAAAACGGTTAATGTGCCTCAGCGTCATGAGCCACGAATGATAGAATACCACCAGCGCTGCTAAAAAGGGCTCATATGATATACCTATCAAAGCTGTGTTCCATTTATTGACTATTTTGGTAAATGTGGTCGACCCTGACGACATAAGAATCTGCCTCACACGATTCTCAAACACCTTCTGATGTTCATCATCAACCCGCAGAAAAGCCACTGCAGTCCTCTCTTTAGTCTGTTCATTCTGCAGATTCCAGACACCATCCGTAATGTTGCTGAAAGCTTCTTGGGTCATCCTGATTTTTGGAAGTATGCGAACATCAAATCCACACCTGCACAGAAGAAGTCACGAAATCAGTAGCAATATCAAATTGTGGCCTGATGAAAGCCTCGCACAAATTTACAATAACTGCACTAGAAATACTAACAAAACACACATACATGCTGAAAAGCAGGTTAGGGTTATCCTTGCTGTACACAGAGACGAAGCCATTGTCCCACTCCAAGGTTGTGACGCTCCGAGGAAGACGGTTCTTCATATCCCAGAAGACACTTCTACCAAGATTGACTGAAAGATTGAATAAATAATTAGACAGCATATGATGCATAACAGATATTCGATCTAACAACAAAGTAGAGAAAAGAGCATACCATCGTGTTTCATCAACCTCATCCTTGCATCTCTTGGCCAGCACTTTTTATTGTTATACCCCACCATATTTTCGTTGTTGGGATCAGGATGCTCCGCAAGATATCGTTGAATAACATCCCGAGCCTCGTCGTGGGTAAACTTAAACATTACATGAACTTTGTCTATATACCGAGAATACAGTCTTATGGGATGGCGTGTCTCAACTTTTGTATCACAATAGGTCATAAACTCGTTGGGCATCTGCGGCGGCCCAGCAATTTCAGTCGCTCGAGTCAAACCGAGTAGCAAAAGATCTAGCACTAGTCCATAAAACTGAACAGCAAATGAGACAAACTGAAGGCCCCTAATGAGACCATACGTGTGAGTGTGACTCATATCCTTGTAAGTCAGAACCACGTTATTCTTGGCAGTCACATAGTCTGCAAGACTATGGTCAAGAACCAAACGAAGAAGCCTGAAAGAAAAAACAGAAAAGGCGTTTAACTCCAGAGAGTTGAGGCTCTATATCCATAACCACTGACGTAAATTAGTAGATGAAGGTACCTGTTCAACATCGTCAAATCAATCTTCTCAAAGAACTTTTCAAACTTTGTCTGGAGCATCACCACACACTGCCCATCACCTGTGTCCCATATGCCTTGCAAATTATTGATGCCTTGACACCACTTATAAACCAGAAGCGGTGGTGGCTCTGAGTCTGCAGGCTTAATCCAGTTGGGAAACAAGTGGCGTTTGTCGGCCTCGTACCACAAATACTGATCAAGATAGGCATCGGTAATTTTCTCTAGGGGCTCGATTTCATACACAGGTATCAAATAGCTATATAGATCCATGAACTCTATGCCAACCTGCAGAAAAAAAAAGTATTCACCATCAGCCTAAAAAACGATAACCTCTAAGACACGTATGTTAAATCCCACTGTGACATATCAGCTTACTTCTTTAAAGCTACGCTGAGTGAGAAGATGGCGTTTTATTCGCACCAGAGCTTCATGAGGGTTGTCATAAGCTTGTTCAATTAGCCCAAGTTCTTCCCGCTGCTGCTGATTTAACCTCACAGCTACACTATATGATTCCTTCAGTCTCTCCAGGGCCAGGATGAGCAACTTTGTGTCGTGTTTGTACGATAATGGAGGGAATGGAATTGGTGAATATTTCCTAGATTCCAGCCAATGAACCGTAGTTGTATAAATCGCCACCGCTTCCTCCATAGTGATATATGGACCATCTTTCAGAAAATTGTGCTGACGTTCCTGCAAAAGTTTAACAATCAAAAGTTTAACAGATCGGGGAGATCTAGGATGCAAGGAACTGATCTACTTATAACAACAAATGATGCCTCATCATAAACTTTTGAACAAGACACGGTGAAAAAGACGCTAGGGCGATGTACAGACCTGTTCTGCCTTTAGCCAAAGACGTGTCAGCCTTCCAAGATTCTTTCTACAAACTGTCTTATCAACAGTAGCCCCTCTTCTGATACGCTCACGGTTGTAGTGAGCAACATTTGTCCACCAATCAGCCTTAGACTTGACGTACCGGAGGATCATATTCTCAATTGGCATAGGCAGCCCAGGGACCTTCCATGCGATGTTAGCTTTCCAGCACCGCCAAGCCTCGCTAAGGTGCTGCAATATCGTCTTCGCTTTATTTTGCTTGATACCCTCTGCACATTAGCATAAAACACTAAGCAAGAAGAAAAGAGGGAAAAACGCGGCTCCATAAAAATAAAATAAAAACACAAGAATGGAGACCTGGCATGGCATCAAGGACGTCATGCATGACAGCGGCTCGGAGCTCCAAGTCAAAATGGCTTTCGACTCGCTGTTTGGTGACTGTTTTGGCCACTCCTTTTGAATGACGACCCTCAAATTGGCGTGCAAGAAGATTCCCCAACCATCGTTCCAAAAGAGGAACTACTCCACGAAGGAAGAACAACCAAACCCTCCACATCGGAGCCCAAAACCCACAGCCTGGTCCTTTACCCACAGGACCAGTATTGAAACGGTAATAGATCACGTGTTTTAAATCCTTGCACATCCTGATCTGTCTCATCAGTCTGTACTTGTATCGATACATACCCGTCAACTGGCCAACATGGGAGAAAATGTATTGCAGGCCATCGGCCAATTGGAAGGCATCAACGTTACCAAGTCGGAATTGGACATTTGCATCAACAACAAGTTTTGTCAGCCGGAGGATCTCACGGCAGAGATGGAAAGCATTTCCAAAACGCGACTTCTTCCGCTCTTTGGTTGTCAGCGTTTTGACAGGCTTCACGTTGAAGTTATAATCAAGGTGCAGGTAGTTCAAATTCTTCCTGTGAATCAACAGGTTCAGCATGTTGTACCCTTGCCGGCAGACTTGCAGACCCACTTCAACCCAATCGAGTTCGGTGCTCTGGAAGAACTTTGTAGCTGCAAGTGATCGGAACAAGTGTTTTTTCTTCTGAGCTTTGGGTGGTCTGTGATGTACCCCATTCAGCACATAACATTTCAAAAGCTTCTGGTAACTAACCCGAACTTTAACCGGATATGCGGGAGGGCTGCAGATTATGAGATAAGTAAAGGCTTAAGGAGACCCACTAGTGAAGGGAAGGGAAGGGGAGAGAGAGAGAAAAAGAAAACAGAAGAAGAGTAGCTTACCAGTGCTCTTTAAACCACTCAGCCACAAGGGGTATATCTTCAGCCCGACGCGTCCTCCCAGACCTCAAACTGAAAGGTCGCGGGGCAAACAGCAATGAAATGCCAGCAGCTGTAGTGTCAGTGTAGAGTTGGGTGTCTTTTAGCAAAGGTTCCACTCCTTCTGGCAACTCAAAGTCATCCTCGTCATCATCATAAACCTTCCTTTCACGCCGATCCTTGTTAGTGCTACTCACTGGGTGGATTAACGGATCATAATAAAAGGCGGGGAGGTCAGGATCCTCGGTCTTTATGTACATAACCATGGGAGTGTGGTAGACACCGAGTTTCACTTTCCTGGGCCTATTGTTGTACAAATGGGGAAAAGCTATCCTGTACTCGGTTCGCAGAGGAGATCGAATGATAAGCTTCTTGATGTCATTAAACTCGTTCCAGTCCTCATCCCCCTTTTCGATATCACGATACAGGGGTTCAAACTTGGGACCTCCTGGAGAAAGAGTAACAGAATGCATCAGCATGAGGAAAAGAAGAGGAGGACGGCAGCTGATAAGAAAAAGAAAACATAAGAAAGGACGATGGCGTACCAGGTATGCACATGTTCAGTGCCTTTGCGGTGATGAAGGATGGCATGTCAAACAAGTAGAAGTAGTTGCAATCAATCAGATCAGAAAGCAGCTGGCCTGCGAGCCTGTGAAGGGTTGCCATAATTGGAAGTGAGAGATTCCACCTCCGGTAGCTGGGACCATTGATCAGTTTTGTTTTTACGAGGGGCTTGGGATCGTAGAACCAAGTGTAAACAGCAGAATCTTCTTCCTCATCTAGCTCCAGCTGAATTGGCTCCAGAGGATCCACGTCCAGCAAGTTGTCGGCATAGTCCAGTGGAGGCTCCTCGTCGTCAAATGGTGGAAAACGCATTCTCTTGAAATGACGACGATCCCTTTTCTCCCTTCGCATCATAATCCACATAGAACCCCACTGCAAAACGAAAGAACCATCACTTGAAAACATCTCCTGGGAAATTCGAGAGAAAGAGAGAGAGGGACTATTAACCAACCTGAGCCATGTAAATAGGTTCCACCACCCATGGTATCTCGTTCACAAATGTAATAGCCCCAGTGATGTGATACAAGACCTTCACGTCCCGGACCTGAAAGAGAAAATGGGAGGGAGCTTTAGATACGTGCGAGTTAAGAAAGAGCTCCAAGAGCTGAAGCAGTTAGGCCAACAGGGGTACCTGCTCCCAGGGCATAGGCATATTCTCCAAGAGCTTGAAAACAGCGTGAGGGACGAACTTAAGGGCTCCGAGGTATACACGTTTATCATGCCGATATTGCTTCGATGACATAACACCATGATCCCTGAATAAGTAAACGCAGCGTCAGTTTCAATCTAAACAAAGCCTCCTAGCCTAAAGCTAACCTAACACCTAAGCATAGGAATTGGGACCCGAAAGGTTCTCTTCTAACTCGATTTCGTAATCCTTGAACAAAGACACCATTGAAATTGAAGGGAAAAAAAAACTCGCCTGATGACCTTCCTGACGTGCTCAGGTGGCATGTCCTCCTTCTGAGTTTCCACGAACCCAAACTTCCTCTTGTCGCCGTACCGTTTCGAATTTAGCTGCATCCACTTTCTGGCCTTCTCCTCGAGCTTCGCCTCCGCCTCCTCAGGAGTAGACTCCGCCGCATGATTCGGATTTGAAGGCGGCGGAAGCGTCGTGTAAGAAGGAGGAGCAGCGGACGGCGGTCGCATAGTTGAGCCGCCGGTACCAGGAGGAGCTAAATGCACACCATCATTGCCGTTCCACATACCTCTCTGGTTGCGAATCCAAGCGCCCAGCGAAATCGCCGAGGAATTAACCCTACATCAAATCCTCCGTGACAGTGTGTATCTCTCTCGTAGCGCCGAAAAATCCCTTAAATATATATATAGTCCATGAACCTTAAACCGACTAGTTAACACCAAAAACAAAAAACGTGTATTTTAAAAGGTTTATGAACTATATATTATATTATTATTATTGATAGATTTGGTCACATTATATGCAGAGGCCAAGAAGCGCCTGTCTGAACTATATATTATATCATCAATAATGCTAATTCTGTCTTATTAAAATAGTTGACCAACCTCTGACGAGAATAAATTAAATAAGAAAAGCATTATAGATAATTTGGTAAGAGTACAGTTGTTTAAATGAAAAAATGGTAACTTAGAGAAATTAAAAATTGTGCACATACCTATGATTGCGCGCTTCTTGGGCTCTGCATATGCTACAAACATTTTATGAAGGGAATCTAGATCAACCTCATTACCCTGTGATAACAGCAAGGACGGTACGATATAGAACACTTTAGTGCAAACACATTATCTTCAACCTCATTAGATGTTACATCAAAGTCCACAGCTCTAAATACAAACGCATTTTCTTCAAGCATTTGTTTGGCCACAGCGATAACCTATCTCTACACCTTTAACCTTGCCTCAACTATAAGATCCCTAAATCATATAACGCTTACAGTTATGTAGCCATTCTAAAGCTTAGCCGTAACAACAACACACAACAACAAATAATAAACACTTACGAAGTGAGATATAGATTCTGAACTTGGGTTGGATCTCATGCAGGCAACAGAGACTGTAAAGACCTCCAAGTCTCCTCGAAAGACAAGAAGTACTAACAATGCGACCTGTAGACAAAAGGTTGGCTTGTAAATCCATGAATTACAAATGGAATACAACAACGAGCACATCAAAGCACGTGATACTGCAACAAACGAAAGCAGAGCATGGATAATGTACCAAAACATGGAAACATAAGTCTGTATGAAATAGAAGAGAGGTTATGTTTAACAAAGATGGAGGGAAGAAGCAAACTTACCTCCACAAACTCTTCTATGAGTTCACCGGTATCTCTCTTGAATGGGGAGAGACTCATCCTTTACATGCACACACACAAAAAAAAGTATGAGAATTGGAGAAACACACAGATTAAGTATATCAATAAGAGAACAAAACTAGCCTGAGGATGGTCTTTAAATACAAAACAGACTCAAGTAGATAAATAATTTCTAGTCCATACATCAGAGATTGAGATTCTCTGACACAGTATTGATTATCAAGCCTTGTCACCTGGATTTCTCATCTGGTTAGTGAGCAAGGGGTTCCTCAACCTGATCCTGTGATAATCTCTCAGGCTGTTCATTTAAGCGCAAATCCAATTAATCATGGTCGCACAAACACAAATTGAGCTGGACTCGAAAGAGTTACACTGGGAAAGATGTCTCTTGTTGTTGCGGCACACAGGCATCTTCGAATTGAACTGATAACCTGAATCGAACAGAAAGAGGGGAGAATCAATGAATACTTACAGAAGAGTGAAAAATAGAGAGGAACAACTTTCTGGATTTAATCAAACTTTCTGGATTTAATCAAACCACTTATGTCTTCTCTCTCCGAGATTGAAGAGACGAAAGCCAAGTTGAGACGAGAGCAGCGAACTGTACCGGAGGGGAAACATCACAAGGTCATGTGATGGTCACGTGCTCAGTGAAAAGGTCGTGTGATGATAGTAGTAGAACTAGATCCTATTACCAACTGTGTTCGTTTACATGAAAAGTAGAGCATACCATGAACATGATTTCAAATCTACATAAGCATTATTAAGCTGAAATGTAAGTAAAACGCTACATCATGGCATACAAATGCATGAATTAGCAAAGACAATGAACCAACTATGCAGAAACAAAACCAGTTAAGTACATCACTATGAAGGTAGCTTGAACAAAAACATGATTCCCACGTGTTGTAAAGATAACAAACAAAATCAAGAAACAAAAAAAAAACATTCTATTCTCGTATACAACTGGCCAAAGATTCTTGGTACGGTACATCAACTTAATGGCAACATAACTGAGAAAAACCAAAACTATCTCCCTCCTATTCTCCCATCAATCTGTCCACGTGGGTTATGCTCAAGCCGTCACAACACCTGAAACCCATGGAACGATAGTAGGCGCTTTTGGGTGGTTGTTCCTGTATGACTCTGAATATCTATCTTTAAAATTATGCTTTGGCGCCTCTGCCTGCAATTTACATTAGACATATAATTAATACGAGACAAGCTTAACAAACCGTCTCGGACGAGTAATCTCAAGGAAACTGAAAAAGAGAAATGAACGAGGTCGGTTCTTACGTATTTAAGCCAACATTCTTGATGTTTATGCTCATAAATATCTGGGGAAAAGCAACCAAACTCAGATGGACAATAAACCCAAATGTTGCATTTCGTTTCTCCAGGTTTTGCACGCTTTGCCTGGTCCAAGCAAGCCTGGCAACAATCTGCTGCACTCTCTTTATGATGTGTAAGCCCCCATCTCACTGCAGCACCACCATAATCTGTGTGAAGCTCTGCGTTACATACAGCTGGCACTGGTCTGCCTGCTAATACCTCCTCTGTAAAATAAAAATAATAAAAAATGCATAACCTCATGAGTTTTAAATTAGCCAAACTACATTAAGTTTCTTGGTTATGACCCCATCACAACTTTCCAGCCGAAAGAAGAGATTGGGAAAGTATAAATCTTTGAGAAAATATTACCAGGCTCTTCCTCGCCTTCAGGTTTATCATCGTGTTCTTCATTGTTAACCTCGACAGGTAACCAAAAACCAATCTCTTCAGACAGCACATCCCACTCCAACTCCAAAGCTCTTACAAGCATCCCTATATGATAGTCAAAGATCACGAAAGAGTCCCCTCTAATTATATTAAACAATGATCCAGAATCCACAAGGTTTCATAAAACGAATCTTTGGTCATGGTGAAACTTAGCAACCCCCACTCAAATTGAGTAATACCTGCTTCCTCCAGTACCATGGTGGAATTTATCCCATTTTCTTCTTGAATCAGCTCTTTAGCTTCCTTCAGCTTCTCCTTCCGCCACGTTTCTACAGCTCCTGTTCACGGGATGAAGATAAGAAGGTAGTAAGGGTCAATACATTGAATTGAGGGTGACATGAATGTGTTATAAGAAATATTTATTGCAGCCGGTAACAGTAACAAGTCTACGTGCATTAACACGACAAGGAAAAAAGATATTTTCAAGGATATTCCACTTCAAAGATACTGAGTGCTCTTCATTTGCGTGATCTGTTTCAATAGCTCATTCACTTCAACAAAGTCGCTCGTACAGAGTAAGGTGGAAGTGAATAAGCTATCAAAACAGATCAAGCAAATGAAGCATCGAAAAGCAACCAGTATTAATATCTTGAGTGAATGATATTATTAGTTACTTGAGCTACATTCTACTTCTACCATGAACGATATAGATATCTTTACTAAAATGAGCTCTTGACATCGACAACATCTTGCACTGGTTAGGTAATAAGAAAAATCTGGTTAACAAGACACCATCACATTTCAACGAGGGATGAAGACAAATACTTAGAAGATGCTAAAACTAATCAGGAAACTTCATGAAATGTAAATTCGTGGCAGTTTGATAATAAATGTGATGACTTTTTGTGAAAGCTAACATTAAAAAGACACAGCTTAGTAGCAAAACAGAGATCCCTTTACATGTAAGATTCGAATAGCACAAACCTCTGAGCTGGGTGACATTGGATTTCTCTTCCAAGCTTTTTAAACGCTGCAAGAGCTCATCAACTAGTTTGTGTTTTACATTAGGAGACAGATAAGTATTTGATTCTGCAGTGGCGACATCATGTTTCAGCTTCTTCACCTATACGATTTCGTAGATCATGACAAGCATTATAAGAACCAATGCATCTATAGATAAAGAAATAATCGAGCTCCATTAAAGCCACTGACCAATCTAACAAGCTCAACAGGCTCTTTCGATCTTCGAATCCGAATGGATTCCTCCATTTTCCTAATCTCATCTGATGTGTACTTAACAACTGGATAAGAAAACGAAAACCTTCAGATACAAACTACCATCGATCATCAAAAGAGTAAATGATTGGAGAAATCCGAGCAGAGTATCAATCAAATCAAAGGGAAACAGGACGCACCATTCTCGTTATTGGAATAGATGTGGAGAGAAGAGGCATAGAGAAAGCGAAGAACAAAGAGAGCGATGAGAATGTTGAAAAAGCAAACGAGAAGAGTGATCCTTTTGTAGGAGAGAACTCCGCCACCGGTGATCCCTCCGGTCCATTCTCCTCCTCCCCTCGCCATCTCCCACCGCCGTCATCCCTCCATACCCTCCCGCCTTCTCTCTGCCTGTGTTGCGGGTTTCAAGATCTCCAGAAAGTCGCTTCGATTAGCACTCTGCTTAAATCGGAAACTAGAAGATTCGATTTCTGCCTTTTTTGGTTCTTACGGCGGAAAAAGGAAATCGTGGGAGAGAGAGCAGTCGAGTGATTGTGTTAATTATTGATTGTTGCTAATTCATGTACCGAACTGCAGTATATGTGGTTGGGTGATTAATACAGAAACTTGTTAATTAAGTACATCGCGGGTTCGCTAATTTAACCCAAAATTTAAGCAAAATACCGTTTTGCCCCTATTTTTTATTAAACTTAAAATTGGATCACATGTGGTAGGAAGAAGAGAAGCGTCTTTCTATTTCTGTTCACATGGTAGAAAACTTCCCTACTATTTCATTAATGTCACTAATCAAAGTTATTAACTTCTCAAATTAACCTTGTTTAATAAAACCAGACTCATAAGCAAAACAACAAAAACTGGTTTGCGGGAAAAAAAAAAAAAGTTAAAAATGAAAATAGTAGTCACCGGCTCTACTGGTTACTTAGGCGCACGACTGTGCCACGCCCTCCTCCGTCGCGGCCACTCCGTACGGGCCTTGGTTCGCCGCACTAGCGATCTCTCCATCCTCCCTCCAGAAAGCGATAACGATGCGTTCGAGCTGGCCTACGGAGATGTAACCGACTACCGCTCGCTAACGGAGGCTTTCTCCGGTTGCGATATCGTTTTCCACGCCGCGGCTTTAGTTGAGCCTTGGCTTCCGGATCCATCTCGATTCGTCTCCGTAAGACTTTTCTACCGCATATTAATCTTAGGACTGTTGTGGGTAAAATCATCGGAGAGATGATTTGGGTAATGGTGATTTTTTGAAGCTCAGGTCAACGTCGGTGGACTGAAGAATGTCTTGGAAGCAGTTAAGGAGACGAAAACAATCCAGAAGATAATCTACACTTCTTCCTTCTTCGCGCTTGGGTCAACCGATGGATCTGTTGCTAATGAGAATCAAGTATATGATCTTCTCAATCTCAGAGTTGTTTTGGTTGTGTTTGATTCTAATTTGATTCTGATCTCTGAGTAAAAGGTTCATAGCGAAAGGTTCTTCTGCACGGAGTACGAGAGATCGAAGGCTGCTGCTGATAAGATTGCCTTGAATGCTGCGATTGAAGGCGTGCCGATAATCTTGCTGTATCCGGGTGTTATTTATGGTCCAGGGAAGCTCACTTCAGGCAATATGGTTGCTAAATTGGTATGATTCTCTTTACGTCCCTTTCATCTCTTACTTATGATCTCTTTTTGGCTGATTAGAGGTACATTTGATGGGTTGATGAAGTGATAAAGTTTCAGAATTTGATTTCCTTTTGTTTCTCACAGTGACATTTAAGTAGAAATGGAATCAAAGAACAAACTTAAGGAATAATTCAAGAGAATTCTCCCCTGATCTGATTTCAATTCCCCTATTTATACTCTAAAACTATTTACTTTCTGAACATTAGTTGAGGGTGATTTTGATCTGATATAAGAGCTGGATTCTTGTGACTTCTTATGAATACCTTCTGTTTAACAAATTTATTTACACCTGCTTGATGTATAGAGAAATGCACTTCATTTTAGCAGAAATTGTCCATCTTTCAAGATCCATCCATATGTTGTCGAAAGACACGATCTTGTTAGACTTGAGCCTGCTGGTCTTTTGCTACTGAACTAGAAGTTAGATGTTTTTCATTACCAAATGTATTTAGCAGGGTTGAAGTACATACTGACAGACAGCAAATGTTGTAATCTGCAGATTATCGAGCGTTTTAGTGGGAGATTACCTGGATATATCGGGTACGGGAATGATAGATGCTCCTTCAGCCACGTTGATGATGTAGTGGAGGGTCATATAGCTGCAATGGAAAAAGGTAGGCTTGGTGAAAGATACTTGCTCACCGGGGAAAATGCTTCTTTTAAGCATCTCTTTGACATGGCTGCACTCATTACCGGAACCAAAAAACCAAGCTTTAGCATTCCGTTGTGGGTCATCGATGCATACGGATGGTTATCTGTTCTCATCTCTCGGGTTACGGGAAAGCTTCCAGTTATCAGTCCTCCGGTGAGTTCCAGTTGCATTCATCTGTCATCATTGATTATCTTATTTTCATTTGGCGTAATATAATCTTAAGTCGTGATATCTTCTTTTTTGTAAATGAGCAGTCAGTGAATGTGCTGCGACATCAATGGGCATACTCGTGTGACAAGGCTAAGAAGGAACTTGGTTATAACCCTCGAAGTCTAAGGGAGGGATTGGAGGAGATACTAACTTGGTTGAAGGATTTGAGACTCATTCAATATTGAAATCAAAATTGCCCATCTTTCTGATACTCCTAAGATTCAATGTGACTACTATTCTGTGATATACAGTTTGATTGCTAATGTGGATTATCAGTGAGATTTTAACAACTCAAATTTTAGAACTACAGTTTATCTCTTCTGAAGGTATCTTTGTTTGTTACCCTGACTACTAAAACGTTCAAGAGTCATGTTCTTTGAAGGGATTTTTTTTTGTGATTTTAATTTTAGAATATTTTCGAATGTCCGTTCTAAGAGATTATGAGAACGAAAGAGGAGTATGCAAATGTGGAAGCACCACATCTTATTTGGCAAGAACTTATATGATTACATGTATATGATGAGAAGATTAGTGCTAAAGTATCCTATAAATGTGTTCATAATGCTTTTCGCTCTTCCAGTTTCAGGACATCCCACTTTTATTATAGTAGTAGCTGCATGGTCCTCTTTTCAGTTTATGCTGTTCACATGAGAATTAAAAAGATCTCAATTAGAGTTCTAGTCAGAACAAAATATTGAAACGAAGTAATTAGTATATGGTTTTTGCAAGATACCTGGTACAGTCGACACTTTTAGAGAAAGGGACACCGAGATTAACACCACATTTAACAGGGAGTTGTTTGGCATTATCATCAATGATTCCTGGGATTGCATTAGCTGCGTCCTTCAAGCATTGACAAGCCGCTTGTTTATCCGGTTTCTCCGGCGCTGCGGCTTTTAGACTGTTGAGTCCGCCGCAACACGGTACAGACGGGGTTCCTCCACCTCTAAGATAAGCCAAACACGGTGCTAAGTACATGTTTACCTGCGAACATTGTATGGCTTCTCCCTCGTGGTTCGCTATCACCATTACAAGTGTTACCACAAACAGTAACATGTTCCGAGTTTTGCTAACGTTCCTCATTTTTTTTTTTCACTTATATTGAGTTTTGACAATTTCGTGTTGTTTACTTTTGATCAACTATTTTATTTTATAGGGAGAATTTTGGAGGAAACCGTCATGTACATGTATTTTAAGTGACTAAGCTTTTTGTAAGTCATGTGTTTAGAGTGGCTGTGGAAGTTAAGTCTTAACGAATCTTCTTGTCTATTCGATTAGCTGAAAATTATTTTCATATTGGGGTCGAAAGAGACTCGTACCAATTTTCTATCGCTTTCGTCACAATGAACCTTAAAAATAATGTCGAAAGGCCGAATAAAAAAAGAAAGGCCCAAATAAACCCAGAAGATGAGAGAGACTCTGAGCCCTTTCTTCACTCTTTCATCATAGTTCAGTTTCCTTCTTCGTTACTTCTGCGAATCAGCAAAAATGGAGTCATCAGTAAAACCCAATCCTTTCCTCTCCTTTTCCTCCTTCCTTCACCACCACTGTAATCGATTCGCCTCCGACCTCTCCGCCCGAATCGAGGACACCAAACGATTCGCCGAAACCCTAACTACTCGACGTTTCTCTCCTCCACCTCCCTTCGCCTCCGTCTCCCAGTCCAAGTCTGGCGCCCCGACGACGTTGAATCCATCTCATGTCGCCAAAGCTCTCGCTGGCACGTCGGTTTTCACGGTCAGCAACACCAATAACGAGTTTGTTCTTATCTCGGATCCTACCGGCGACAAGTCTATCGGTTTGCTCTGTTTCCGCCAAGAGGATGCTGAAGCCTTTCTTGCTCAGGTTCTGCTCTTTGTTGCTTTTGCTCCCCAACACACACAGCCCAAATGGGTTTTTGAAATGGAAAGTTTCTGAGCTCGTATTTCTCTAATCTCCTTCAGGCTCGCCTTCGTAGAAGAGAATTGAAAACCAATGCTAAGGTTGTTCCCATTAATCTAGACCAGGTACTTCCCGTTCCTTATAATCACTTCATTAGATCAATGTAGAAGACATTGATTGACTCAAATGGTCTGGGACATTGTATCAACATATGAAACAGATAAATTACCTGCGACCATCTCTCTATTTCTTACGAGTTATGTGATCTGGAGCTCAATCTAAGTTGAGTTGTTCATGTCTCGCATCATTCAGTGGTTTTATCATATACTATGATAGGACCTCCTGCTAGCAATTTCAAATGAATGGGAGATTTGAGTTCTTGTCCACGCAGGAGTGTTGAAATGAATGAATTTATCAAAGGAATTTTTTTTATGTTATTTGCGTAATCCTGGTAGCTACATTCATGTGTTGTCGTTGAATGCATTCCCTGAAGTTTAAAGATGATGTTTTTACAGGTGTACTTGTTGAAAGTTGAGGGGATTTCATTTCGCTTCTTGCCAGATCCAATCCAAATAAAGAATGCACTGGAGGTTGGCTCATGCTACAAGCTTTATCAAGCAGTTTCTCCTGCCATTGCTATTTACTATTTAGTTTGGTATTTGTCATTTCAATCTTATCTTAAAGCTATATTTACTTGCGTCCCAGCTCAAATCTTCAGCTAGTAAGAATGGGTTTGATGGAGTTCCTGTGTTCCAGGTAAATTTTCTTAACTTATTTTCCTGCTAAGTGTTATCTGATGTTGATGTTGGTGCTGTTTGTCTCCTTGTTGGCTAAAATAAAGAGCTGCATTGTGATGCTTACCTGTTCTTGTTTCACCAACGAAGATTCTTTGTGTTTTGATGTTTTTGCCTTGTTTTCTCTTGATACGCATCTCTCGTAATTGTCATCTGCAGTCTGAGCTTCTCGTTGTGAGGAAAAGAAATAAACGTTACTGCCCTGTTTATTTCAGTAAGGTTGGTTGATTTTCTTCTCGCACATTAAAGAATACTAAGAAAATCTCTCTCAAGCCAAAACAACGAGATAACTGTTTTACTGTTGTTGAAAATCAATTTCTGCCCTGACCAATTTCAGGAAGATATAGAGAGGGAGCTTTCGAAGTATACAAGAGCATCAAGAGGAGAACAACAAATAATGGTAAATATTTCTTATTTGCCTTGTATATAGAGAGATAGGCTTCCTTGAGAAAAAGAAGGAAAAACAAAAATCACCTCAACTTAAAAACATGTGGTTTTCTCAAAAGTATGACACCATACATTCAGAAGAGATAGAGCAAAGGAAATGGAAAATTGTAGACAGAGTTAAAATGAAATCCAAGGTGTATCGTTATCAAAGTTGCATATCATAACTTGTATTAAGAAGAGGTGACATGATCAATTCCGCAGCATTGAGCATGTAAGCATAGGTTTATGAGTCCTCTTATCTTCAGCATGCGACTAATCCTGTCTTGCGCAGGTTGGGAGTTTGGAAGATGTCTTGAGGAAAATGGAGGTATCTTCGTTGTTTGTAGGAACCGAAAATATGAAATCATAAAATCTTTTTGGAAATCATATAATCTAACAGAACTAAATTTTAATAAAATGTAGAGTAGCGAGAAGAACTCGGGATGGGAGGATGTAATATTCATTCCACCGGGAAGAAGTTATGCACAACACATGCAGGATGTGATCAAAGAGTAAAAAGACGAGTGACACAAATGTTTGTATTTCTTTTGATAAAACTGTTACTCTTTGAGATTTTGCAATTTTATCATTTGCCAAAGAGCTCAGCGCAGTTTCGGTTATCATTTTTCTTCTTTTTTTGGTAATTACATACCAAACCCTATCATTGTATGTAAGGATAAAATGGTAAATGTTACGTTGGTTTACGGATATGAAGATGTAATCCGTCTTTCATTAGCTTAAACCGACTAAATCTAACCCAAAGAGGCTGGGGCACCTAAATGATATGTTGGTATGGGCTAATTTTTGACTAAATTTGGTTAAAACGACGATGTCTAACCATCCTAATTTTCTTTTCTTTTTTTGTTCCATCGTAAAATTGCTTTGACATCCCAGCTTAAAAATCATGATAATATGACTAAGACAAACTAATATGTATAATTACTGTTTTGCTTTTCTCGAAAATTGAGAAGTGATGAGATGAGATGAGAAGCATTGATCCTTCCTGTAACTGATGTTGACAGGAGAACTAAAAAAAACATAGCTCCCTCGCACGTTTCACTCTAAGGACTTTGACCCTCTCTTAATTATACTAGTTACACATTTAGCGGATATTATATATTTACATACTTACACACTTGTTTTGTATTCAAATATTGTTTAACTCTACGTTTTAGCATTTCAAAATATAAAGTAGTAGTCGAATCTGTTCAACTGGCTTTTAATAATATTAAACTACAAGGATGTTTGGGTTTATTTGGTGTATTTGTACATTAAGCATATTCACCTCTTGGAACTTCTACCCACAGAATCCTTTGTATTATTATTATGATTCCTTTTTTTTTAAGTTGTAGTTGGTGGAGTTTAGTGAATAAATAATTGTGACTGGTTTTTCTTTGTTGTTGTACACATATCATCATTTTTTTCAAGATCATCAAGTTGTTGAAATTTCTATAATTAAATATAAAACTATATCATATATATACACTCTTGATGAAACATTTTATAAGGAAAAATATTGTTGGAATGTCTCTTTCAGATAGATTACTCGCTCTCCGAACACAGTATTGTAAGTTGTATCAACTCCCATTCAATATTTACCTCATTAGTTATTACTACTGATGGATAGACATAATGGCAAAAAATAATAATTTGGACGAGTGTTGAATCTTTACTAACTTCATTCATAACTCATTGGATGAGATATAGAAGAGTGTGGTTTTTCATTATAGTATGTAATGATACTATTAGTATCCTTTACATTGTAATAGTCGTACCCACTTTTGGAGGCGGGAACATATACGTAACTTAAGGCATACGTATTTTGCACACTAATTTCATTATTTGCAGCCCAACCACCCAAAATCGTTGGCGACATCTTTGCTATATTAATATAAATCTATCAAGCTTGTTTTTGAGTAAAGAAAATCCTTTGACACGTCCAATGAAACTCTTCTAGACGTTGTTTGTGTTTACTTATTTTATCTAAAAAACCAAAAAAAAAAAAAACTCAACCGCTACATTGATTACTAATTAACATACCATATTTATATTATTTTGTTAAAGACATACCATATTTATATTATTTTCTCTAACTACTTTACACGGACCGTATATATATAGATGACCATCATCCTACACACATTCCCCTTGAAACCTTTGAACATTTGATTGGTATAAAAGATGAAAGAGAAATGTTTGTCACTGAGAAACGGGAGGACGATGATGATGATAATGAAGATGGCTCCATCCAAATCCGCACTGATACGTTTCAACCTAATCTTGTTCGCTCTCTCTTTTCTTCTTTTCACTGCCTTTTTTCTTCACCCTTCCTCATCAGTCTACTTCAGCAGCGCAGCTTCATTTGTTGGATGCTCTTTTCGTGATTGCACTCCCAAGGTAAGGTGAGTTTTTTTTTGTTTTATTATGATAATCGAGTAAACCCTGGACCGAAATTTGGACTTATAGGTATCGATCTTTCCATTGCTATTTGATCAATCTTCGGAGCTATAGGTGGAGAGAGGAGTAAAGATGCAAGAACTCGTTATAGAGAACCAAATAAACAAGATAGCATCGCAAACTGCTAGTAACCAAACCAAGCTTGAGGCACCAAGCTTCATGGAGGAGATTCTAACAAGAGGGTTAGGGAAAACAAAGATAGGGATGGTGAACATGGAAGAATCTGATGTTACACAGTGGAAACGTTATGGCGAAACGGTTCACATACATTTTGAGCGTGTCTCTAAGCTTTTCACATGGCAAGACTTGTTTCCCGAATGGATAGACGAAGAGGAAGATACCGAGGTTCCCACATGTCCTGAGATACCGATGCCCGATTTCGAAAGTTTAGAGAAGTTGGACTTGATAGTAGTGAAGCTGCCTTGTAAGTACCCTGAAGAAGGGTGGAGAAGAGAGGTTTTGAGGTTGCAAGTGAACCTAGTCGCGGCTAACTTGGCGGCCAGGAAAGGGAAGACGGATTGGAAATGGAAGAGCAAAGTGTTGTTTTGGAGCAAATGTCAACCGATGATTGAGATTTTCCGGTGTGATGATTTGGAGAAGAGAGAGGGAGATTGGTGGTTGTATCGGCCTGAGGTGGTTAGGTTACAGCATAAGCTTAGTTTGCCAATCGGATCTTGCAATCTTGCTCTTCCTTTGTGGGCACCACAAGGTAAAATCATTTTCATTACAACATATCACATTTCTTTTTTTTGTTTATTGATTCTAATTTTAGTAAAGGAGATAAACTACACAAACCACAAAAAACTAAAATGAATTTCCATTAATTAATTAATGTTAAGATGAACCAAAAAAAAAAAATTTCACCTAGGATGAAACCACCAAAACCTTTTGTTTGTTTTCATTTTATGAGTAGTGTTGTGAGTATCATTAGCAAATTATCTTAACTTTTGTATTGAATTTGATGAAAAGTTGAACTAGCGAAACAGAAAATATAAGTGGAACTGAACTTGATATAGAAAAGTCTCATACGTAGTGATTAAGACGTTGTAACTTAAAAGGACTTTGATTACGTGAAATTGATGTGAAATGGTACCAACTTTGTTGTGTAAAATAAAACAAGTCGATATGTTTCGGTTACTTTGCTTAATTGATTGTTGTGTGACAATTAATCTTAGAGTGGTTGTGTTTTAGGTATGTCTTTTTGCTAACCACCAAATTTTGATTGTCGTACAAGCTACCTTGCATTTTTTATATAGGCGATATTAAAACCAATCGTTACATTCACACATATGGCCAAATGATTAAACTACGATTATCAAAAATGATGTTACATTAAAAAAAAAAAATTAAACAAATGATTTTTTTTTAAACAAATTATTAAGGTTGATGATAGCTTATATTATAAAAGTACCCCCAACTCTTTAATTTATGACATGTATTTGTTTTATCAATTTAGTATTGTATATCAATTAAATTAATTCAACCTGTTTTAAACATATCGATTCAAATTTATAAAAAAGCGTATAATATAGTTTTCTTGGATTACAAATACAAAAACAGGTATAGACAAAGTGTATGACCTAACGAAGATACAAGCAGAGACGAAACGACCAAAACGTGAAGCCTACGCAACCGTTCTCCACTCTTCCGAATCTTATGTCTGTGGCGCCATAACTTTGGCTCAAAGTCTCCTTCAGACAAACACAAAACGTGATCTTATCCTTCTCCACGATGACTCCATTTCCATTACTAAACTCCGAGCTCTCGCAGCCGCAGGATGGAAACTTCGCCGGATCCTACGAATCAGAAACCCACTTGCCGAAAAAGATTCCTACAATGAATATAACTACAGCAAGTTTCGACTGTGGCAATTGACGGAATACGATAAAGTGGTCTTCATTGATGCTGACATCGTCGTCCTACTTAACCTCGATATTCTCTTCCATTTCCCTCAGATGTCGGCCACCGGAAATGATGTCTGGATATTTAACTCCGGCGTTATGGTCATCGAGCCTTCCAATTGTACGTTCAGTACGATTATGAGCCAGCGAAGCGACATCGTTTCGTACAACGGTGGAGATCAAGGGTAAGCATTTCAACAATACAAAAGAAATTTACGTTATTAGCTTCTTAACATAGATAGTGCTTAATATCTAGAGTATAAATGAGATTAATGTTACGGTTTAAGTGTAAAGCACTTGTAACCCTCTATAGATACAAGTGAGATAACCGGACCGGTTTAGTCGATACTCTGATTATAACACTACCAACAAAACGCTAAACCTTAACAACAATAATGCTACATATGTACTAACGAACGTTAGATGTTGTTACATATGATAATCAGGTATCTAAACGAGATATTCGTGTGGTGGCACCGATTACCTCGACGAGTAAACTTTCTAAAGAACTTCTGGTCAAACACAACCAACGAAAGAAACATCAAGAACAACCTCTTCTCCGCCGAGCCGCCTCAGCTTTACGCGGTCCACTACTTGGGCTGGAAACCATGGCTCTGCTACAGAGACTACGACTGCAACTTCGACGTGGAGGAGCAGCTGGTGTACGCTAGCGACGCGGCCCACGTTAGATGGTGGAAAGTGCACGATGCGATGGATGAATCTTTGCAGAGGTTTTGCAGGCTGACGAAACAGAGGAGGACAGAGATCAACTGGGAGAGGAGGAGAGCGAGGCTTAGAGGTTCCACTGATTTTCATTGGAGAATCAATGTTACTGATCCAAGGCGACGTCGTTCCTATTTGATTGGTTAATTCTTGCTTTTGTGTGTTTTTTTTTTGCTGTGTTCTTCTTAGACCATGTTATGATTATTATTGTGAAATGAGGATTTTTTTTTTTTGAAAAATTTGTGAAATGAGTTTTAAGTTTTGCTTCACAACTCGTGTGTTCTAACTTCTAACTATACAAGTTTATTTGGTCCACTGAAATTCGCCAGTGTATGTGTAATATTCGTTTTGCGATAACAACTCAGCCATAAGTAATATAAGTAGATATTTTGTTAAACAAACTAACGTCATAATTTTTTTTTTCTAAAAGTAATGTAAAATGATTTCGCAGATATGCACTACTGTATATTGCGGTACTTATACGCAAGACTATCGCTTTCTTGATGTGCAGTCATCCATTTTTCCATTAGCTTATTATCTTTTAGTTGTGATGGATATCTATTAGCCATACAAAAAAAGTTATTTTACGAAGAAGATTGTTTTTGAGAAATAAGCTTAACAAGTGGAAGAGGAAATTTAGAAGTGAAACTAAATTGTCAAAGAACAAAAATGAGCTTGCCTTAACGAAATAAGCTTGTCTTTAACCATTTTTTCGATTAGTTTAGGCGTTGCGGAGAGGATATGGAGTTTGCATTCTCGTTGTTGACATACAAAACTTAAAAAACAAATCATATTCTTCTAAAACTTATGCAAAACACTTTTCAGGAATTCAAGTTTTTGTTCGTCAACAAAAAAAATGTAAATATAAACGCCAAATATAAAAATAATTAACTATAGTTATAAATTTATAATCACGCCACTTCATATTTTTATTGTTTTCTGTGGACTTGGCACCAAGAAGACTTAAGAGAAAAATAAACAAAGAGATTATCCAATGATGCGAGCACAATTTTCCAATCTCTGGAAATATTACTTTTTTTTTTATAAAAAAAATGGCGATAGAGACATCTCCCATCTCCATATAGACTTTTTTGGAGTTGACTGAGTTTTTGGTCTCCTACAGTTTATTAAAAATTTGCTCAGATGATTGGTTATAAATGTTATATGATGGTATTGTGAATTTCTAAGAAATTTCAGTAAGTTGCGTCTCTCTCTCTCTCTCTCTGGCTCATCAGTCATTTGACATCGTGTACAATGGCCGTCACCGACTTTTTCGCCGGTGAAATTGCGACGGAGCTCCTGAAGCAGCTCGTTTTGTTATCTGCCAGAGCATGCCGGTACAAAAGCACAGCCGACAACCTCATCACCTTGATCGAGAGCATTCAACCGACCATCAAGGAGATCCAGTACAGCGGCGTGGAGCTTCCTGCTCACCGCCAGGCTCAAATCCGTATGCTCTCCGAAACCCTAAAAAAGGGGAAGAAGCTCACTGACAAAGTCCTAACCTGCGGTCGCTGGAACATGGTTCGACAGATTTACCTCGTTAAGAAGATGGAGGGTCTCGAGAAGACACTCTCCACTTACTTTAGGGGTCCGATTCTGACCAACATCCTCGCCGATGTACATATTCTCCGTGCCAGCTCCTCCGTGCGTTTCGACCGGCTGGACAATAGCCTCGAGAGGATGAGTGAGCAATTGGGTTCCATGAAAATCGGCGGAGGAGGGATGATTAGGGATGCGATGAAGAGAGCCGAGGCCACGATGGAGATTGAGACAAACGACGACTTGGAGAAATTTGGGATTGGGTTGGAGATGGGCAAGAGGAAGGTGAAGAAGATGATGTTCAACGCTCAGGGAGGCCTCTTTGGGATCAGTGGAATGGGCGGTGTCGGTAAAACCACTCTTGCCAGAGAGCTTGAGCGCGACGGTGAAGTCCGATGTAAGTATTCCGAGCTTGAGTCTAAAGACTGTTTCTTTTATATTGTGCGATCGTAAATTTACTGCCTTTTTTGTTGTTGTCAGGTCACTTTGAGGAACGAGTTTTGTTTCTGACTGTATCACAATCTCCGATTCTCGAGGAGCTTAGAGCACATATATGGGGCTTTTTGTCTGGTTATGAAGGTGTAAATCCTGTTCCAAGCTGGAATTTACAGTATGATGGCGGGGCTAAAACACAGAAGCTGGTGATTCTTGATGATGTTTGGACAAGAGAAGCGTTGGACCGCTTGACCTATAACATTCCTGGCTGCATAACTCTTGTGGTCTCTCGGTCCAAGCTCACTGAGCCTAACGCCACTTATGATGTGGAAGTACTAAGGGAAGACGAAGCAATCTCTCTCTTCTGTCTCTGTGCATTTGGTCAGAAATCCGTCCCTCCTGGTTTCAGCAAAAGCCTCGTTAAGCAGGTATAATGGGTTTCTTCTCCAACTAATATAATATAACCTAATGCTGTTTCGATTCTCAGATTTCTTCTCTGTTTTGTGACACAGGTTGCTGATGAGTGTAAAGGTCTACCTTTGGCTCTCAAAGTTACGGGCGCTTCACTGAAAGACCGACATGAAAAATACTGGGAGGGCGCGTTGCAGAGGTTATCGAGAGGTGAGCCTGCTGATGAAACTCACGAGACTAGGTTACTTCATCAGATGGAAGCTAGTCTAGAAGATCTCGACCCGACAACCAGAGAGTGTTTCTTGGATCTTGGCGCGTTCCCTGAAGACAGGAAGATTCCTGTTGATGTTCTCATCAACATGTGGATTGAGATACATGATCTTGATGAGGCGATTGCTTTTGCCACTCTGGTTGATTTGTCGCACAAGAATCTCCTTACTCTTGGGAAAGATCCACGGTGAGGGATTTCACATTACTTGTACCTCTCTTCACTTTCTTACAAGGTTTAAGAGGTTTAGATAATAATTATTGCCGTATATTGATTTGCAGGCTTGGCTCTTCGTATGCAAGCTACTATGATGTATTTGTGACACAGCATGATGTTCTGCGAGACTTGGCACTTCACTTATGCAATCGAGGGAAAGTGAACATAAGAAAACGATTGCTGATGCCGAAAAGAGAGTTAGTGCTCCCAAGAGAATGGGGAAGGAACAGTGATGAGCCATACAACGCCCAAGTAGTCTCTATTCATACTGGTAAGACAATTTTTTTCTAACTGCAATCTTTGTATTACTTTGCTCTCTTGTCCGATAATCACCAGGATCCTAATGTTGGTTGGAATTTCTGTTTTTGTTGCAGGGGAGATGGATGAAATGGATTGGTCTGACTTTGACATGGAGTTCCCTAAGGCAGAGATTCTTATACTGAATTTCTCTTCGGACAAGTACGTTTTACCTCCTTTCCTCACCAAGATGAGCCGTCTTAGGGTCCTAGTCATTATCAACAACGGCATGTCCCCTGCGGTTCTCCATGACTTTTCGATTTTTGCCAATTTGTCGAAACTAAGGAGTCTCTGGCTCGAGAGAGTTCACGTCCCTGAACTCTCCAACACAACGATTCCCTTGAAAAATCTCCACAAGATGTCTCTGATTCTGTGCAAGATCAACAACAGTTTTGATCAGACCGGAGCTGACCTCTCCAGTATCTTCCCAAACTTGGGCGATCTTACGATAGATCACTGTGATGATCTCGTGGCACTGCCTTCAAGCATTTGCGGAATGACCTCTCTTAACTCCTTAAGCTTAACAAATTGTCCACGGCTCGGTGAGCTGCCGAAGAACCTGAGAAAGCTACAAGCTCTTGAAATTCTGAGGCTGTATGCTTGCCTCGAGCTAAAGGCATTGCCTGTGGAAATCTGCGAGCTTCCTCATCTTAAGTACCTGGACATCTCACAATGTGTCAGCCTGAGTTGTCTTCCAGAGGAAATAGGAAAGCTAAAGACCCTTGAGAAGATCGACATGAGAGAATGTTGTATCTCGGGTAGACTGAGCTCTGCTGTTTCATTGGAGTCTCTACGCCATGTGATTTGCGATAAGGATGTTGCATTTATGTGGGACGAAGTTGAGAAGGCCGTTCCAGGATTGAAGATTGAAGCCGCGGAGAAATGTTTCAACTTAGATTGGCTCGATGAGTAAGATCCTAAACCCCTAAAGTTGTTGTAGAAATTGTAAAAAATTCACTGTGAAACTCGCAAGTAGTTTAGGGGATTAGTGTAGGCTTCTCTTCGTGTTAATTAATAATGTAAAATTGTAAATATTATGCTTTGTGATAAGGTCTATCTGTACAGTTTCCACTAACTCAGTCTCTTTTTTTTGGTGTATCTTAATCTTTCGTAACTTTCTTATCAAGTGTAATTACATCCATGAAACACTTGTTTTGGTATCGAAACGCCTGGTGTCAGGAACAGAGTGATTCCCACCAACTTTAGAATATTAATTTTCTAAAATTCCCTTGAAAATAGTTCAGTCGCAAGAACCCAACATTAGTGTAATCCACTCAAGTTTCGTCCCAACATTGTCTCGGGTGGCGAGAGAGAAGGAAGAAGAAGAAGATGGAAGAAAATTGCGAGGTTTGCATGAGATGGCAAGAAGAACTGTACTGGACTCATTTCCAAACCCTCCATTTCTCTCAGCTCCTCCTTCCTGGTTTTCACAATCGCCTTGTATGTTAACAAAAATCTCTTTCTTTTCTTCTCTGTTGGGTTTGATTTGGAGATTTTACAGTTACAGTTAGTTGTATTGAACAACCCTCGATCAAATCCCAAATATATATGCTTGTTTCACTTTCTCTGTTACAGAGTTTTGCAATTTTTGTTCTTTCTCTTAGTAATTTAGTTCTGAGTTTGTTTTTGGGGCTTTAACAGACATAATATTAATTGTCTGAGAGTGTACCTTTTTTTTTTTGCATCAAAAACTCAATTGTGTTTAATCTTCTTATTTTTTGGGCAAATCATTGCAGGCCATACCTCAAAAGTTCTCCACATATTGCAGAAGGAAGCTACCAAAGATTGTGACTCTCAAAAGTCCAAGTGGAACTAAATACAAAGTGGTATTAGAGGAAGACGATGACAAGACACTGGCTTTTTGCTGTGGGTGGGACAAGTTTGTGAAAGATCATTCGCTACAGGAGAGTGATCTATTGGTCTTCAAGTTCCATGGAGCGTCTGAGTTTGAAGTGCTGATCTTCGATGCAGACACCTCTTGTGAAAGACCCACTTCTTACTTTGTAAGGACTTGTGGTCATTCAGAGAAGTCGACCAAAGGTACAGATAATATTACTGCAACCTCTTTAAGATCTCCAAGGAGATACTCAAACCCTGATGCTGGAACTTCATTGAACCAGCAAAATGTCATGTCTCCAGCTGTTAA